GCTCGGAGATTTCAGAAGCAGCAGTTAATTCCGCTGATTAGCCCGCAGTAGAGCCCTGAGGACCCGCAGTCGCAGCCAGGCTACTGTTCAAACCTGGCCAGCCACCACGACCCACCTGTGCTTCAGTCACAGCAGGTGTGGGGGCCCCGCACCTGCCAATCAACCTCCACGGGCAGAAAAGCTCACGACGGTGGATCACGGACGGTGTCTCCTTCGGAGGAGAGACAGTCGAGAGGAGACAGGAGACGGCCTTGGCGCCGGGAGAGAAACGGAACCCCTGGAGTCCGAGCTCCAGCTCAGGCCGTGGGGCTCAGTGCGCGCTGTGAGGCTGACTGCGCGCCTCTGACCGGGGCTGGCTCCGGACATGCGCCCTCCCGGTGCCCAGTGCAGGCCCCGCCCCTTCCCCCGGCAATGTCCATCCCTGCTGCTTCCACTGCCTGATCAACCCCCACTCACTCTTCCGGACACAGCTCGCGACCTGCCCTGCCCGGCTGGAGTTGTCCCGTCCTTGTTCCTAGAGCTCATCGTCACCCTTCCCCACCAGTGCACTAAAACATGGACCCTCACAGCCGAGTGAGGAGGGATGGGGACAGACACATCAGCACAGTTGTCACTGTAACATCACGATGCAATGTCAGAACAGGGGCCTGTGTGGAGCGGTAAAGGGGGTGGAACATCTTGTCTGAGTGTGCATTGAGGCGGCCTTTGTCTGAAAGGGGAAGGGTTTTTCTTGGACAGCGCACATCTATACACAAGCCCGGATGTGATCTCGTCTTCTCTGGCCAGGTCCCAAAAGAAAGTGGGAACAAGCAGGCGGGACACAGGCCCAAAGAAAGGGGGGCAAGCCCTGACCAGGCCTGCTGGGCCCCCCCAGAAGGCCCTCCATGTTAGGGGAACGCACTATTGCCCAAGGAAGGCTTGTAAGGCCTGGGCTGTGCTGCCCCACAGAAGTTTTGAAAGGGGGTGGACAGTAAAAGATCTTCTGTTGGGCCCCTTTTGAACTTGGGGAAGCAAAGCAGCTGCTAATATTAAAGTTACCAGATGCCCACCAGAACAGGGGCCCTCGAATCTGCAATACACAGGGTGACAGTCAACAGGTGACAGATTTGGGGGAAATGAGTCCAGCTCATTGCCACTGGAAGTTTGGGCATCTGTTATTCCTCTCACAGGTACGGAATATATTTTATTAGCAAGGAATGATCCTCTGCGGTAATCTCGAGGACAAGAAACCATTTTCTCAAGTAAACTGCACTCACAGAGTGTTAATTACATGGCTCCTCTTTCATAAAAATGGCAGGAGGGACATACAAAGGCCCAGCCACTGTCCAAAGATGGACTGATCGACCCTTGTCGTCAGTAACAGCCTGAGCCAGTTTGCAGTCACCATGGGATTGGCTGAAGGTGATCTTGTCAGTACCAGGCTCAGATTCTCACTCCTGATAACCCACCAAGAGGCTTCCTGAGCTTTACACTCAACAGCCAGCAGAGAGGGGAAAATTAAACACTACCAAAGGCCCAGTTTTATTTACTTGATGGAACTCTAATTAGGCAAACGGCCACGGGCCGCAGCCAGCCTGGGCTGGGCACCATGGCCCTCCCTGCTGGACGGAGGTCAGGCACTTCCAAGTGACTTGGGGAGCTTGCATGCTCTGGCAATGGGGAGACATACAGGCCGGAGCTCAAGTGCCAGCTGGGCTCTTGTGAGACGTGCACAGCGTGCTCAGGGACTGCAGGGGGAGAGCACAGACTCTCAGGGCAGGGAGGGGGGGCGGAGAAGAGCCACAGTTTCCGTTCTCCGCTGGGCTGGTTGTTATTTTTCAGCAGAGCCGCTTTGATGGGATGCTCATTAGCATCTCAGGCTCCCTCAAGTCAATATTCTGTTTCATGTGGGGATACTGAGTCATACTTGTACTTCCACTCTTAAAGTTCCATGAACTCCCCCAAACTAAGAATTCTGATTGCCTGCCCTTGGGGAGAGCTGATGTGGATGCTGCCCTTTCTCCTTTGCTGACTGCTTCTTAGTGCCGCACGGTGTGGACCCCCTGACCCCCTGAAGGTGAAGGGGTGCAGCAGCCCCTGCCCTGGCAACTGCACGCAGGAAATGTTTACTTTCCCTCATTGAACAACACACCTTTTGGGAAGGACTCATATATTTTTATCTGACAACCACATGCTACATGTATTATTTCTATATCCGTTAAAGGACCTCCCAGAAAACAGCTGGACTGGACATACAGCAGAGGGACACGCGACGGATGATCCCATCTATTCTGCACTCCAGGAGGTGCGTCCCTGCTGCTAACGCAGCGAAGAGCGAAGACAGGGCATCTCTATCAGACACACACCATGGAATCAAAAGTCATAGACTCCGTAGGTTCAGAGTAATCGGCTACATGAGGCAACGTGACAAGGACAGATGAGTTCAGAGGGGAACATTTGGGGTATAAGATTATTGGGAAAGAACTGAAGCTCAAAGTATAACCTTAAACAGAGGACCCGTTCACCACATTAACAGACAAAAAGTAGGGCCCAAAGCCATACAAACAGCCCAACTGTTGAAAGTGCTGATGCGAGAGGTACCTCCTCTCTTTCACTCTGCAGAGAGGAAAGAAAGTAAGTGTTGCGGAGAGGCAGATAAAATGTGTCTCGGGAAATCCTGACTGCAGGGACTCGGGAAGTGAGAAATAGATACGATGTGTCTACAGAAGTTGCGAGCTGGGGAAGAAAGATGCGTCACAGAAAGGATTTCAAAGAATCTTTGGCGGAGTCAATGACACAGAGAGCCCAGAAATGAACCCACACCTTTACGGCCCATTCATATTTGACAAAGGAGGTAAGAATGTATAATGGGGTAAAGACAGTCTCTTCCATAAATGGTGTTGAGAAAACTGGACAGATACGTGCAAAACAAAACTCTTATCATTCCGCAAGAGTGACTGTGTTGCCATGGTCGCCTCTGTCAGGAACATTCTTATCTAATCTCCTTTTTAAAACAGAATTTATTGGGGTGACACTGGTTAACAAAATTGCACAGGTTTCAGGTGTACGATTCTGTAACACATCATCTGTGGATTGTATTGTGTGTTCACTACCCCAAGCTGTCTCCTTCCTCTTTACCCTGTTCTACTTCCCTCACCCCCTTTCCCTCTGGCCATCACCATACTGTTGCCTGTACCTACAAGTTGGGTTGTTTTTGCTTATTCACTTCACCTTTTTCACCCCTTTCACTGACAGCTGTCAATGGAAGGAGGCATGAAACCCAGTCCGCCTGCAGACCACCGACTTGAAGGAGCAGGAGGAAAGGCAGGTCAAGTGCACAGACAGGCAGGCGCAAGCTTCTGGGAGTCTGACCGCTTCTGTACATTCTCAGTGCGACCAGGCCGCCATCTAAGCACAGGGGTGAGAGAGAGCGCATCCTGAGAACACACCCGAGAGTCGCTGGGGAGCATCAGGAGGCAGACTAAGAAAACGTACCGTGCGTGCCAGCAGCACGGAGGACCCGCGGAGGCCAACCACCATGAGCTGAAGTGAGACAGTTCTGACGCCTCTCCCGGGCCTCCTGTGGTTGGTGGGTGCCGGTGAGCCACAGGCAGAAGGCTCAGCTTCGGCGGGGTGACCTTTTGCCCAGCCAGGACATCAAGGCAAGAGAGGGACAAGGAAGCTGCAGGCGTATGCAAAGGAGCAGTATTAAGGGTTGCCCATGGACCTCACGTTGGACGTGATTCTACCACTGAGGGCGAGTGGGTGGATGTCCCGATGCTTAGCAAGCACCTGCTTAGGAATTTAGAGGTGAAAGGTCACAATGTCCCAACCAGTGTTCCAATGGTTCACCCAAAAAACGTGTGTGGTGTATACACAAACACAAAAACCCCAGAATGTTAACTGCTGAATGTGGGTAAAGGTACACGGGAGTTCGACTTTTCTACGAATTTGAAATTTTTCAAATTAAGAAGTTGGGGAAGAGCCTGAGGTTGTAAAAACAACTTTAGTCTATGAAATGTAGAGTTTTAAAAAAAGCAGTATTTTTGAAAAATAAATTGTTCCATAGATGTGTCCAACTAGGTTAACAGATACAAGTTTGTACTTATTTCATATTCATGCCTACAAGTTTACATTTCCAAACTGGGGGCAGAGCTAACTGGGAAATCAACAAGTGGCCAAGTGAACACGCAGCGGGGGACACAGAGCCGATAAGGGGGGCTGGTGGGAGCCAGGGGTCTTCGGGAGGAGGGCGTGGCAGAGAAGAGACAACTGTTCTTCTGAATTCGCTCTGTGAAAGGAATCCCTCAAAGTACACGTGTGCATAGCTTTTTAAAAATTAAAAGAGGTCCCTCGGTTTCCTCTTATTCCATCCTGTTTTAATGTTTTCCTTAACATCAGAAGAAATAAACGAGGCAGACTATCAAGGACAGCCATACACAGGGGAGGGGGGAACCGGGTTCACAGCCGTGAGCACACGGAACGGTTTACTCTGGTTTATTAAATATCGTTATTATTTCCCCGCTGAACGGTAACCCTGCCTTTGCCCCGCCATGTGCGTGTGTGTGTGCGCGCGCACGCACACACACACACACACACACACACACACACACAACTTTGATTCTTACCAGGCACAGATCCAGAAGAATTTTCACTTTTCTCCTCATGTGGGTATACTCTCAGAGAGGAAAGATAAACCCAAATTACAAACTTATGCTGGGGTAAGAGGTGGAAGGAATTAAATCGGTCGTCTTAAAGATGGCACCCAGTAAGAGGAAAGCACATACACGCTTTCTCTCTGATAAAAATTCAAACCTCCCCATTGGGGTCTGAAATCCCGACTGTGTAGGGAACAAAATGTTCACCACCAGCCTGTAGTGATCCGGCTTGTCATTGGCTGAAATGCGACCAATTACATAATGGGACGCTGCTGAACTTAGCTTCTGACGGCACCAAAACTTAAATCTTTGGTCAGAGTAACAGATTTGGGGGTTCTCCTTCAAAGAAGAGCGAGGCAGTGATTAATAAAGACAAGTGTTCAGATTTATTTGGAAATTCACAGTTTCTAACGGCACTACAGCTCCGTCGTCGCACACTGGGCGCCCCGCCCCACGCCGCCGCCTCCGCCTCCGCCTCCACCTGGACCGCTCTGCGGCGGGCTCTGCACAACCAGGCCCTCCTGCTCCCAACGGCTAATTGTACAGACTGGAACAAATGTCGATCATTTAAAACACACTGTTCACCTAAAGCAGCAACTTAAACAAAAAGGCTTTAAATAAGTCACATTACAAACAATACCTGCTGGAAGGTATCAGACAAGTTTAAACACAGTTACTACTAAAAGTGCTTAATAAGTTATAATTTAAGACTGACGACACAAAGTGGTCGATTCTCTTCCCAACAAAAGGGAACTTGCCACTTTCTCTCCCACCGGACAAACACACACAAAGAAATCCTTCTACTCAAATACGGTTGCTGCCAATTAAAGAAATGAAAGAACAAGATGAAGACAGACGCACGGGCATCACACACGTACGCACGCCTCCGCCCACTGCGGCCGATGCGAAGCGCACACCACGGACGAAGAGCCCTGGGGACCCGACTGTCCGACGGGCCTCGACAAGCCCGCCAGCTGGTTCGGGGCATGTTCACGGGCAGTGACTGCGTCACATGAGGCCTGGACTCGCCTGACAATTCTCCACATTTCCTATTTATCGAAAGTGACAGGCTGGAGGACTGGTGCTTACTGTGAACGTTGAAACCCTTCCAAGCAGTTACGTGTTTAAAAGGTGAATTTATAAAAAACTTATTTGCAAATACCAGTCATTTGTAAGAAAAGATCTTGCAGTTTTGTTTTCCTCGTTGAGTTGTAACTACAGAAAACTAGTGTGAATAAATTAAATGAAAACACACTTCAGAGCATCACCATTTACCTAAAAGCAGACATGAAATTCCAGCGCGTGTCGGTTTCAGGTGAGTCTGCTAACGAGGTCTGGCCGGCAGGTCTGCAGCCTCCTTCCACGGTCTGACCCACGTCACTGCGCTTGAGGGGCAGTCACCTCAGAGCCTTGTAGTGTTTGCAGCTTCGAAAAACTAACAGAGTTAGAAAAGAAATCAAACGACAGAAGAAGCCCCTCTCCTCTTCCAGTGGCATTATAAATAGACAAAAGGCACATAAATATGGAAGGTGCGAGAAATAGGACCAAAGCTACAGGAAGAGGTCTGGGCTTCTATTCCTGTCCCACCCAAGGAACTGGGCTTCCAAATTACCAACAATTAACCTGTGAAAAAGCATCTTTAGAAAATGTCTGCCATTGTCCTTATGGGAAGCCAGCCCAGACTGACCGACGCCATCCCACCCACTGTAGAAAGGCGGAAACCCTGGCTTCTGAATACTTTTCCCACAAACGTCGTCTCCCTCCCCCAAACCCTCAGATACCAGTGCTCCTCCGAGAGTAGCAAGAGTCCCCAGTGTGAAGAGTTCGAGTACCCTAGATGTGTCCCGAGACGGCCGTCACCCCAAAGGTGCCCACGGCCAGCTCTTTGTTTCCTCGGATGATGTCCTGCAGGCTCGGCAAGGACCCGGACTTAGTCTGTATCAGAGTTTGTATCAGCTTCCCTTGGTCCTGGACTTTAGAGCGCCGCCGCTTTAAAGCCCTCTTCTCAGTCTTTGTCTTTTGGGACTGTCTGTTGCACAGACTCGTGCACGCTGAAATGCCGCAGAAGTAAGACTCCTCCGGCTGGGTGCGCCCTGAAATGCCGCAGAAGTAAGACTCCTCCGACTGGGACGAGGTTTCCGAGCCCCCTTCGGACGGAGGGCCCTTGTAGGAGGAGTGGTAGACTTCGCCCACGTTGGAAAAGTCTCTCTGGTTTGTAAAGGGCTTCCTCCCTTTTATGTCTCCGTTGGCTACCGGGTGCAAGGGGTCTGCTGGCTTTATGGTCTCGATTTTGTCCGTTTTGTACTTGGAGCGCTTCTTCTGTAACATGAGTGACAGAAGGGCAGGAATTAGACCTCCACTAGCTACTTAGCCTCCTCTGACGTCTAGAGAGCTGAGTGCATGGAGGAGAAGAGCCACCTGCTGGTGGAAAGTGGAACAGTGTTCTCGCACTGTCAGGCACCGAGTGCATGGAGGAGAAGAGCCACCTGCTGGTGGAAAGTGGAACAGTGTTCTCTGCACTGTCAGGCACCACCGTCCCTCCCGACTCAGGGAAGGCTGCCCGGTGAAAACGCCCACTGCCACCTCGCTAACATCCCAACTCCTCGGATGTAGCAGATATTACACCAGCCAATTCCATGGGTATCTCACTCACCAACCCTGAAAGGTGAGGATTCTACCCCCGGTTTCAGGGCCCTGCCCAAGTCACGACACAGCAGTGGCCAGGCTGTGGCCGAACCCCAGCTGCGTGCTCCGGCACCCACCTTCTCTCTCCCACAGTCGCCTCTACCCAGAGAGCAGAGCTTCCTCCGAGAGGCCAAGTGGAAGAAGCACAGGCTGCGGAGCCAGAAGAGCCTCAGTATGTTCGGAGTTTTGCCCCCGGTGAACGGGTCATTCACAGAGGACGAAAGCTCTGAGCGCCACAAGCAGCGGCAAGCTCTCCACAGTGACACGTTTAGGTGTTGCAGGTCACACTGTGTTTTCAGAGTATTCTTCCTTATTTTACACCCCTTTGAAAATGGCTTCCAGATTCATTCCTGCCACAGGCCAAATATGGCTTATGGGCCAGTTTGCTGACCCCCTGTCTAACCTACTTCTTCATCTACTGCCACACACCCACCAAGACACTTAGAAACCAACAAAACATTACCTTTTTCTCTGGAGAGAACTTGAGGGGCTCTACAATGTACAAAGCGTTCGGGTCTGCTATAAATAAGAAAAAACAAACAGCAGATGTAAAAAAGATTATGCTATGATTAAACACGACAAAAATATTGTATCATCCCTTAGGGATTTTTTCTAACAGGAGCAACAAATTTATATTTCTGCCAGGTCTGTGATATACTCATGCATTCTGAATCACTAAGCCAGGAGCAACAGGTGGGAGGCAGTTCTTATTTGGGGCTTTACTGGTCACCCCCAAGCACTCCCCCTACGCCTGCACCACCACGGGCCGCTGGCCACCACTGTCGAGATGCTCCACTGGCCCAGTCCTGCCCTCTTACCTGATGCGACAAGGACCTCAGCAGGAAGCTGGAACCAACCCTACGGACCACCTGAATATGCTCCTAAAAGACTAACTCTACACCGTGTCGCTAATGTGGGTTGACACTGTGCCACCAGTGGCGGTGACCATGCACGAGAGTCCGAGGAACGCAGACACGAAAACTGACCTGGTAAGTTTTTATTACAATGATTTACTAAAATCGAAACTGTGAACCCCCAAACCTGAAAACAGGTTGAACATGCAATGCAAATGACCAAACAATAATGAGCACACCCTTCTGGCACAGTGAGTGAAGCAGAAGCACTAGTTTCAGTTCTGGGTTTTTCTAAAACTTCGTTACTTTAAGCACATGCAAGACGGCCCTGTGCCACCCACGTTGACAAGATCATGACACACAGACACAAAAGGGGCAAAGAGACTTCAGTCCCATCAAAACAGTGAAGCGTAAATGGCCTACGGAACGACAGAGAAAGAAGCCTGTACGTAAAAAATCCACCACAAAATGTCAGATGCCAGAAACTTATTAATAACATGATTCAACCAGTTATATTTTACATTATATCCTTGCCATGTGTTGAGAAATTCAACAGATATATAAAAATATCGAACCATTCCCTCCAAATAGTCATTTCTATTAGATTACGAATCTCCCTCAAATTGTTTTTTTTAAACATTATGTCTACTTTTGGATGGGAGTTAAGGGCTATTCAGATCAGCCTGTACAACGAAAGTAATTATATATGATGGACTTTTTAAAAAATCACTGTAAAAGCATTCAAAAGCTACCAAGGTAAGTAAGCAATCCCCAGGCTAAAAATGAAGAGAAAGTAGGAATCCAAAAGGTCCAGTGGACCCAAAAGTCTCTGTTGGCCGCGGAGCATCTGCCGGTGCAAGAATACGGGCTCTTGGGGCTCGGACGCAGCCTAAGGGAACAGGGCAGGAATCGAGCCTTAGGCCCATCCAAGCAACAGTTTGGGAGACTCCCCTCCCGCTCTCGACAACAGGCTGGGGCCCCAGCAGAGGAGACCCGCGGGGAAAGGAGGAGCCTGTGCAGAGACTGATGGTCCGAGTGCCCATCACCTCGGGGCCCAGCAGCCCAAGCCTGGAGTGTGCAGTTTTCCTGAGTGTAAAGCAAGCAGAAACTCCCCCTGGAGTGAGGACCTACATTTTAGGCCTCAAACTGTCCCTACAAATAACTTTTCAAAGAGAAGGACTAGCACAGAGATAACCAGGTACATAAAGCTACAAAGCACCTTGAGCAAGAGTCTGCAAAAACAATTAATGAACAGATTAAAAATTAAATTAAAATACTGAAATTATCAAACACAGACTATAACTAGAATTATTCTTAGTACTTTACATTAAAAAAACAAGCTTGGAAATATGTTCAAGAAACATAAAACAAAAGAACCTGTAAGTTTTTAAAAAATACTATAAAAACTCCTAGAAATGGAAAATAACTAAAATTTAAAAGTCGATGAATGAATTTAATTGAAGACTATAGACGACTGAAGAATGCACGGCCTGGAAAAGAGACCAGAAGAAATCATCCAAAATATAGCACAGAAAAGCAAAAAAGATGAGAAATAAAGGTGGTACTTCCACCAAATTAGAAAAATACATCCTAAAATTCATACTAAATCACAAGAGATCTAAAATAAACAAAACGATTTTGAAAAATAGGAGTAAAGAGGACTCATACTTCCTGACTTCAAAACACATTACCAGCTACAGTAATCAAAACGGCCTGGTTCCGGCATAAAGACAGACAAACAGACAAATGAAATTTGAAAAGAGCCCAGAAACAAACCCTCACAGGTATGGTCAAGTCATCTTCGACAAGGGTGCCAGGACCACCCACCCACTGGGGACAGAGCAGTCTCTCCAACAAGGGTTGCTGGGAAAGCTGGACACCCACAGGCAGAGGGTCAGAGGGGTGAAGCCGGACCCTGCCGCACACCACACTGACTGGAAATGGAGACCTCAACGTGTGACCTAAAACTGTAACATCTCTGGAAGAAAACGTAGGGAAAACTCCATGACACTGGACTTGGCAATGATTTCTTGAGTATGACATCTAACATACAGGGAGCAAAACCAAAAACGGACAAATGAGACTGTCAAACTCAAAAACTGCTTCTATCACGGAACACAATCAACAGAGTCCAAAGGCAAACTGTGAAATGGGAGAAGACATTTGCAGAGCACACATCTGGTAAGGAGTTAGTACCTGGGATATATGAAGCACTCCTACAGCGAAAACACCCCCCAATAATCCAATTAAAAGTGGGCTGGAAGATGATTTGCAAATGACCAACGAACACATGAAAAGATGCTTAACATCTCTCAGTATCTGAAGAATGAAAATCTAAATCACAATACATCACCCGACACCTATTAGGAAAGTTACTACAAAAAAAAAGCAAAAAACAACTGATGAGAAGATGAAGAAAATGGAACCACTATACACTGTCGGCAGGACTGCACGAAGGTGCGACCACCATGGGAACCGACGCACAGGCCCCTGGGAACGCACAGCCAGCGACGGTCCTGCGATCCCACCTCCGGGCACACGTCCAGGAGAACTATAAGCAGGGGCCTGAGGAGGTAAGTGCACACTCACGTTCGCAGCACCAATGCTCACAAGAGCCAAGGAGTGGAAGCAACCCAAAAGCGCGCTAACACAGGAACAAACAAAATGCGGTGGGTGTGTAGAACAGAGTATTATTCAGTGTTCAAAAAGGAGGGAAACCCTGGCACATGCTATGACATGAATGATCCTTGAGGACACTGTGCTGAATGAAACGACTCAGTCACAGACAAATACTGTATGACTCTACCTACACGAGGAAACCAAAGAGTCAAGTTCATAGACACAAAAAATACAACGGTGGTTACCAGGGCCTAGGTGAAGGGAAAAAGGGGAGCTGTTTACCATATAGAGAATTTTAGATTTATGAAATGAAAAAGTTCTGGAGACCTGTTTCAATTAAAGATTTCACTTGCAAAAAGACACAACCAAGAAAAGAAAGAAAAGGAAAAGAGAGGCAGGAAGGAGGAAGAGATGTACCAGATCTCAGCAAACACACATGTAACAGATTAGGTCTGCAAAGCTTTGTGGTACCAGCCAACCAGGAAAGCTCAGGAATGAGTCCTTGAATGATTTCATCAACTGAAATATGCAGCTTACTTACTAAATCCTAAAGAAAGAGTAGCCAATAATTAAGAAAGTGCTCCTAATTGAAATATATAATTAGTATGGTTATTTTAATATTGCTAGAAGGATAAGTCTCTTAATAAGCATTAATTAAAGCACTACTTATAAAAGTACTAATATTGAAAAACAGCCACTCAGCACACATCTATTCACAGACACTGAGGTCTTCACTGAGTGTTAGCCAATGAAAAGTTTTCAGACTTTGGGCTTTTAAAAAAGAGAAAGACCAGATTTTTTTTCAAAAATGCCTCATAGTCCTAAACTACAGGCAAAAGGAGTCCTACCTGTACAGGAAGAGGAAGCAGATAAGCACAGGATGCTATGGGAGCACATTCAGGTTTTCCATATCTGGTGAATTGTCTCAAACATCCCTTTCTAAAAAGAAATACTTCTAAACAGAAGCACAGCAAACACAGCCACCAAGGGCTCCCTGAGCTCAGCCCCTCCCCACCCTCCGGGCTTTCAGGAACAGAGGGAGATACGGAGTGTGGAAACGACATGGCGGCTCTGCCTGTTATTTGTTGTAGGCGGCCTCCAATGCAACGCTGACATTGTGTTTATGCCACAAGTGAGCCAGACTCATGTTTACACACACACACACAGTACACATCCACAACAATCTACCTTCTTTTCCAGTTAACGGTAGAGACTCGGATCTGATGAGTGGGAATGAAGTTCTCCTTTTCAAACTCATATCGTCATAGGAAGAGAAACACCTAAAACATTAAGAAAAATCAACATTGGACACAATGACTAAACTACACAGAATTGACTCCGTAGTTAGCGCTAGACGGCAGCTACTGAGAATGTACATGACATGCTACGGTAACACTCCAGGTATTGCGAATATGTCTAAAAAAATTAAGGATCACTCTCCAGAAAGTGCATTAAGCCCAGGCTGGGTAACTCAGTTGGTTAGAGCATCGTTCCAATATGCCAAGTCAGGGCACACATAAGAATCAGTTAATGAGCCCTGGCTGGTGTGGCTCAGTGGACTGAGTGCCAGCCTGTGAATTGAACCAAAGGGTCACTGGTTTGATTCTCAGTCGGGGCACATGCCTCAGTTCCAGGCCAGATCCCCAGTAGGGGGTGCTCAAGAGGCAACCACAAGTTGATGTTTCTCTCCCTCTCTCTCCTTCCCTTCCTCTCTGTAAGAATAAGTAAAATCTTTAAAAATATATATCAATCAATGAACACAAAGAGAAGTCTCTCTCTCTCTCTCTCTCTATCTATATATATATATATATATAAATAAGTAAATTTTTTTAATTAAAAAATAAAATCAAAAGTGCAATATTTAAAATATCTATTTCCCTCCCTACTTTGAACTCCACATTCAAGTCTTTCACAAGCAAAACATTTCAAGGACTTTGTGCACTTACTACACTATTAGTGTTTCCTCTGTTACGGTGCACAGGGCCTTCCAGGCCCAGAATGATCTCCTTAGTTCTAATGATGCTTTTAACATTTTGGTTTCAAGGTAACCATATAAAAAAAGAAAGGATCTCCACATCCCTTCATCTGCCTACATTCCTCAAAAATGCAAAAAAGATAACAAAGAAAGTGTGACATGCAACGTGCCGTTACCTTTTGGGGCTCGGATACAGACTACTCTGAGGAAGTCTTGAGACGTAGCCTCCGTCCAACTGAGAGGCACCCCGACAGCGCTGCATGCAGAGCATCAGGCCCAAGACCACGCAGAGGACCAGCGCCATGACGAGATAGCTCTGTCGGTCTGAAACCTGACGTGGGACGAGGGAAAACAGGACCACTTTAAACATCGTCCGAGGGAAAACGCAGGGCGGTTAAGATTCGAAGGACAAATCACTGTAAACCTACTTTAATGTGCTTCAAAACCATGAATGTAGGACACGCTCTCTGAAAATGTGCTACCAAGATAATGTTTTAACATTCCTTCTTTTTGCCCCCAATTTACTGAAATTTTCTAACCTATGAAAAGGCTTTAAAAACAGCACTGCGAACATACTTGTGCCTCTGACCAGTGCTCACCGATCGCCAACGTTCCGCCACACACACTCCACCTGCCCACTCACACCATCTCCTCCGTGGGGAGAAGAAAGGTGCGCTCTTACCTGGTCTTTCCCACCTAATGAACTGAACCACCCATCGCCCCACTATTTAAGCCAAAAACCCGAGGATCTTTCTTAATTCTTCACCACACACGTCCAATCTCTCAGCAAGCCTTGTCTTTCTCCTCTGAAACACATCCTGAACTCAACAACTCCACACTGGCTCCACAGCCGCTCCAAGCCAACACCCCACTGCCTGGCTCCTGCCGCTGCCTGGCTCCTGCCGCTGCCTCCTGAGTTTCCTCCGCCCTCTGCTTGGCCGTTCCCTGTGAGCCAGTGCTCCAGAGCAACAAGCGGGGACTTCCCCGAAGTGCTGTCAGCGAGGTGATCCAGGTCACTTCTTCGTGTACCATGCACCAAAGACTTGGAATGACTGGATAAAATTCAGACCCTGCACTACCTACGAAGGCCCACCCGACTGGGCTCCCGCCGACACCCCGCACTCACTTCTTACCCCCACTTCCCTCCTTCACTCTCCTCGGAGCACGCCAGCTTGCTTTCTGCACTTAAACCACGACCACAGTCCCCGGGGGCGGGTCAGGGGCCCCGCTCCCCAGTTCCTCCAGTGACAGACGCACACTGAGCCCCAGCTCCACGTGGCCGAGAGCTGCCCTGAAGCACTCTCCTGCGCCACCTCCTCAGATAAGCCCTCCCATGTCACCCGTGCTAAAGCTGCAACCATTATGGCCACCGCTGCACACAGCCATATCTCCTTCTCTGTGCCACTGTCCTTGTCCCATTCACCGCTGCATCCCCTTCCCCCAGGAGAGCCGGCTCTACGAGGCCAGGGACTGCTCCCAGCTGCAGGCCCCGACCTGGGGCGGCAGAGCTCATGCCTCCCGTATAGTGGTTGCTCGGTAAATACTTAGTACATCCGTGAAACTGTTAAGCCTTTGGAACGGAAATGAAGCATGTGTTGCAACTATCAATGGTTTGCAAAAGGCCTGAAAAATGCTTTCATAACTAACTGTATTTTCGGTATGACCTAAACTATGAAAGCCATATTTTCTGAAAGACTATGATAATTAATTCCCAAAACCCTAAAATGCCACATTCTGGTATTCTGAAAAGTTCCCTATAAATGACAATTTCATTTAAAGCTCTTAAATACCATGTTCTTAACAAGCCTGACAACCTCTAGACAGGCACTGTCTTAGAACACCAGCAGTAACAATTACCTCCCGTTTTAGTTCTGCGACTGTCGCCGACAGGTTCGAAACAAGCTGGGTCACGTTGGCCAGCTGCGCCTGCAGCAGCTGGATGGACTCTGTCTGCCGCTGATCCTAGAGTACAGGAAGAAATGAACTTCATTTTTCTTTGTTGTGATGAAAGTTCAAGGAACATAATCTGGAAAAACTACTAAGTTCCTCAGGGGAGGGGGAGGCATTAATAACGAAAATTCCTAATGACTAAATACTATAAACTCTTAACAGAAATTTAAAAAAAACAAAAAACACTTCAAGAATCTGGTCAAACCTCCTCCCGTGCCCCACCCCAAAACCGTACTGCCACTTGCTACCAACAGAATACTAACAGAAGTCAATAAATTACTTTTCAAGTTAATATGGGTCGCATATGTATAAACCACCATATAACCAGCTGCGTGCAAAATAGTTACTTTTTCAAATATGTGTTTTTAAACCAAAGCAGCTAGCACAAAGACACGTCGAAGAAATTTTGAAGACTAGTTTTGGATATGCAGCAGGCTCATACCAACATCTGAAAGTTCTACTTTGTATTAGGATGGAGCTTAGGATGCCACACAGTAAAAATAAACACACTACTGACTATCTAGTCAGTGCCAGAATATCACCAACGCAAAGAAATTCATGAAAACTCTCATCTGTTCAGCTCTGAATTTTAGAAACTTTAATTATCAACAAACATGCCTTTATTCAAAATAGGCATGCATATTTCAGGGAATGATGCATCATACTTATAAATCTATATTAGGTAGACTGTACTGAAAATTTCAGAGGAATGAATTTAGGGAGGAGGAAAGAAGGTAGGAAGATGTTAAGGAAGTCCAATGCTCTAATTTGGGACCCTCTACAAGAAAAGCTATATGACCATTTATTATTGTAGATGTAAGTTGTGCAAATTCAGACTTGAACAGGTTCTAAGTCTCGACTGCGTGTGTGTGTGAAGCTGGGGGCGGGTGGACAGGAAACGCTGTAGGGAAGGTCCACTCACTCCCTCCCCGTGTTCCACGTGGAACTCCGTCTGGCCACTTCACTGTTTAAAATGCTGAACGTACTCAAACTACTTCTTCTGACTGACATTTCTGACAAACACTGTTAAATTCTAGACAGTTATGAACACTGAAAGGCCTATTAAATTGACTATTTAATACTAAAAACACTACTAAATGTTATAAACCAGTTAACACTTCCAATCAGGACCTACTTCCAACAGTGTTAATACACAAGATCATGTCCAGTACTTCACCAAGTCTTTCAGACACAAGACAAAGATAAAATACAGAGGGCAAAGCATTGTGTTAAACTTAATGAAAAATGAAATAAATATTGTGTTCATGGGTCAGAAGACTTAATACTGTTAACATGGCAATTCTCCAAATTAATCTATCAAAATAATCCCAATTAAGAGCCAACAGCCAAGGGTCTTTTTTGTTTTTAAGATAGAAAGTGACAGGCTCATTCTAAAGTCTGTATTAGCCAAATCCAGATAAGAGGAAAACATTCTGGAAAAGGACAGCTGGAGGATTCACACTCCCTGAGTTCAAGAGTTCCTATCAAGCTACAGTAATCACAACAATGAGGTACCAGCACTACGACAGACAAGGATGCCCAGAAACAGAGCCACAATACATACATACATACAAACGGTATGGAACCCAAATTATAACGTGTCACAGACGGAGAGGAAGACGCAACTGACTCTGTGACATGAGGCCACTCGCCTCCCCGTCCCCCAGTCCCAGATAAACTCTAAAATGTCTTCACCGTGGGACACACTACAGGAACTTGTTAAGCATCACAACTGGCGCAGCCGTACTGAAGTTATCCCCTTAAAATCAGTGAGAAGGGGTAACCACAGTGCCAGTCCTGTGGCATCAATGTACAGCTCACGGCAGGAAATCAGAGGGAGAAAGGAAGAAATAAAAAAGTATTGGGAAAGAAACAATCTTATTGGATCAATAAGATTATCTACAGGAGCACAAAGGATTTCTGAGTTTAAAAAAGTCACATAAAAGTCCACTGCACTTCTGCTCACACACACACACAGAGCTTCAAATGTATGGATGATGCTCAAGCAAATTTTCTCTAGAGGAAATATTAGTGCTGACAGCTAGATAAACTCTCTAGACATGACGTTTATAGGCGTAACCATAACCTGTCATGGGAGAAAGAACGCCAATATTACTTACCCTTCTCACCAGTGAGAGCCTACAAAAGTCAAAGGAAATTTACATAAAAAGAAAATAAAGTGTGAAAACGACCAACCTGCTCCTCTGCTATTCGTGAAGTATTCTGAAGTTTTACTATTGTTTTATTGAAGGCCTTTTGCATTTCTTCCATTTGCTTTCGGTACCTGTGGAGTAAGAGTTGACTTAAATTAGCTTTACTTTCTAATTTATTAATTTATTACTGGAAACACACTTCTGATTTCAATACATGAGACCAAACCATTTCTCTGAACATGACTGAGGCCTGTGCCACGCAGGCCCACCTCCACAGGTGCATGGAACCGGTCACTGGAGGTGTCCGCTACCTCAGCATCAATTCCACGTCTCTCAGGGCTGCGCAGGATGTATTAGTTTCATACGTGCTCAATTAACTTACAACAAAGGAGCCAAGAATATACAACAGGGAAAGGACAGTCTCGTCTATGAACAGAGCTGGGAAAATCAGACAGCTGCGTGTAAAAGACTAAAACTGGACCACTCACTATCTTACACCATACAGAGAAGTGAACTCAGCTTCCAAGAAAGAAAAGAAATTCTTTAAGTCGCTGATCGGATCGAATTACCCGCCCCCCCCCTCCAGCTACAATGGCACTTACTACTGTCCCAGCATGTCACAGGAAGTCCACTCCTCCTCTAGTCGCAGAGCACCTACCTAACCCATCGTGCAAAACACACCATGCTGGCCCATAACAGAGCTTACCTTTGGCTAAGCTCCTCCAAATAGCGGCCACTGAGAGACATGTTAACTTCTAAGGCTTTAATACGATTATTAAGTCTCATGAACACTGACTCCTTTTGGTTTGATCCATGTACAAGATTTCCATTAGCATATCCTAGATCCGTCGAGTTTTGCAATTCAGCATAAAAATCTGTAGCTGTCCTTTGCAACCCTCTTAGAAGAGCCTCTTCTGGAGACTGCTCTTCCTCTTTCACTTCAGGGAATGAAGCGGGGTCCACAAGAGGGGTCAGCACTGGCTTTGGTGTGTCAGCTCTGGTCGCTTTGGCTTCCCCGTCTTCTCTGTTTGGCACAGGGGCTGTGTTTAGAGGTGGCACTCCTGTTTCGGATAGCTTTGTGGCAATTTCCATAGAGTCTGTGTTTTCTTTTGCAGTGCTCTCCATTACTTCATTAAGTTTTGTCTCATAGGTCACAGCTGGCTTCTCTACAGAACCAAAACTCGCAGACTTTGTTTCTGTTTCGTTACCAACCTCAACGGAACTCTCCTGGGGAGTCACTTGGGATGGCGTGTATCCTGCCTCGTATTTAACAGGCTCAGACACTTCTAATTTAGATACTGAGCTGAGTTCAGGAGTAACATCCAAGGGAAGAGACTGAGAGAGAGTCTGAGGATGGCTTGGTTCAAGTTCAATTACATCTGCAGTGTGATTAATCAAGTCACCTTGGTGCGTGCTACTTAAGTCGCCTAGAACAACAGTTCCAGCCTCCTTTTCCTTCTCCTTACTGCCCAGTTCTCCACTTGGAGGCTGCAATACTGAAACAGCTACCGATTCTGCAGGAAGCAGCAATGGTGGATGAGCTGGCACAAGGTGATCTTTCCCTTTATCCACGGCAGTTCTGCTGTGTTGCCGATAAAGAGCAGCTCTAACTGAACACCATTTATATATGTATTCGGAGAAACCAGAAATACAACAAACTGTGGCCAGTTCACTGCACAATATTTGTGTCTCTGACTCAAACCAGGGTGATGATTCGTCCTCTTGTTCTCCGCTCCCCAGAAGGGTCACCGTGGATGGACTTGCTTCCTCTTCATCCTCTTGAACAAGCTGGACAATGGGGCTCTCCTTTGGGGTATCTGGTGGTGATGGCTCTGTGGCATGTCCCTGTTCTTCAGTGGTTACAGACCTAGAAACACATATCATAATCACAAATCACTTTAATTAGAAGCCTGAAGTTCAAACTACGTTAAGAAAAATGTATCATACATCAGACAAAAAAAAAAAAAAAGACTAGAAATACAGATGAAACTTAAATATTTTGGGATGATTTTCTTTTCGTGAAAGTTTCCATTATAAAACCGAGTAGTATTCAGAAATGGTAACAGAAAGGCCACTCATCCACCGACCAGATGACTGAAATCACTGTATGACCAAATCAACCTTGCTTTTCTTTAATCTGTTTAAGAACTGTTTGAATGCAAATACTACTCCCACGGACTGAATGTATTGTGTTCCTTTCCTCCACAAATATTCACCAAATCTTTACAAGTCTCATTACCCCTTATTTTAAAAGCTAAGCTACTCAAGGGGCTGTGAAATTTTGGAGCAGGAACTAGAACCCAGGATTCTCATTACTTATGAATGCACTCTGTGCTGAACACCCTACCTTCACAGGCAGCGAGGGTTTGCCAAGACAAGTTTCCCGTGCATGATGTGCGGCACTGCACACATGCACACACGTTATCTGCCTTAGGGAAAAGAAACACATCCTCTCCTCCCCAAAATAATCGTAGTAACATCTGGGCCAATGTTCGATTCTTTAAAATCAAAAATCTTAACCACTTTAATGGAAATCCTAGCTAATAATAAACCTATAGTGCTATTAAGTCAATCCCATCTTTGAGCTCTGGAGCCCGTGTGGAGGACAGGGGAGGGTGGGGGACGAGCCTAGTGAAAACCATGTTGTAAACGACAATGTCTATGGTTCCTTCCAAGATAAAGAGAATACATTTCTGCGTGGGGCCCTTATAGTACAAAAGGTATGAAACCTTCATACACAAATCTTCCTACTCTAAAAACTTACTAAGAATGCCAGGAAACGTCTTCCAAAAAAAGACTTACATCACAATAGCAAAGGCAGGAATAGAACAATATCTAACGAGCTATCCTTTCAGCCCTGGCCCGGTAGTTCAGTTGGTTAGAGCATCATCCTGATACTCCAAGGTCACAGGTTTGATTCCCATCTGGGCCCACGTGAGAATCAACCAGTGGATGCATTGATCAGTGGGACAGCAAGTCTATGTTTTCTCTCTCTTCCTTTTCTTATCAATAATAATCCTCTCTCCGAAATCAATAATAATTTAATTTGGTAAAAATTAACTTATATACCATCTATGAATACCCTAATCAGAGCTTTACTTTTAAAAAACTCAAACCTGAAAAAAGTCATCTTTTCATAACAACTTTAATAGTGACACCCTATCATGAATTCTTTTATTTTCTCCAGATGACTGCTATATAATCATCAATAAAATTTAAGACAAACATACATGAATATTAAATTAAAAAATAAAAATTATGCAAAAATATGTATTAAAAACCAAACTCTAATATGTCACAGTAGCCTGATCTTCCAACAAATACTCCTACGGGGTGAGTGTGTGTGTGTGTGTGTGTGTGTGTGTGTGCAGGTATGTACATACGCAAAATGAAATTAGGTTCATTTAGTTTTTAGGAATAAGACGCACTGTATGTTGTTAACTGAAGAAGCCTAGTTATAAAATCAGAACTGGAAATCACAGCAACACATGATTAGAAACACCAAGAACATGTCTATACCAAACGGATTTCTCAGAAACTTCTAGGAATTAATGACACATAATGCTTATTTTCTCTCTAACCACCCAACAGGTATCTTTAGTCACTTTAAGAATTAACATAGGACAATCCAAAATTTGTCACCATGCCCTTCAAAGCCGAGAGCCTCATTTCTGAATTGGTGCTTAGGAATTGCAGTGTAAAGCACAGCCACTGAGTGTGTCATTACACACGTACCTCGAATGGGTTCACGTTCAAGTATCTTCCCCTCTTAAATAGAGTTCTCCTACAGAAAAGGGCCTTTCAAAGTTTTTACAAGGAGTCTATCTGATGAAATAGACATAAATTAAGTTTGTAATAACTATGCCCAATTATCCACATCATTATGAGCTTATCTACTACAGATATGTAGAGGTGTCAGACACCTTAGTCATCTCTGGTGGAAAAGAACAGAGAAAAGTGGGAGTATTTTATATGTTATCCCCCCACACACATCTCTGCTCAAGTGTCCCCTGCAGCCTGGGAAGACCCACATCATCAGATCTGAGAAAGGAACGATGTCAGGGTTTGCTGGGTGACGAACACACATTTAAGAATCACTGCTCTGGGTATTTCAAGTGTCCTCTACAGCTTTCTAGGTGGAGCACAGATATTTAATCAATGCTTTTAAGTCTGAACTTAATAAAAACAAGCCTTTAAAATTTATGCTCAGACCTCTACTGTACAGTTACATCAATAAGGAAAAAGATTCGGTATTGTGAATGATAAAAGTAACGTATTACATCAAAACAACAAACATCTGGTCTGGAGCGAGGCGCGTTCCTGGTGCCCAGGAGCAGCTCGAAGCCACCGGCGGCTGTGCAGCGTCCGCCCTGCGATCTGGGGCTTTCTGAGGCCAGTCCTCACACACAGTCGCAGGCGGTTTTCCTGCGCTGGTGACTCAGCTGTCCACTTTCCCAGAACTCGAGTAGCACCGTGTCACTTACTCAGGTGAAGGAGCAGGAGCTGGAGCTGGAGCAGGAGCTGAGGCAGGAGCGGGCTGAGGCACCTGGGGTGCGGCTGTGGCCGTGGCATTCTCAGATATACTTTTATTTCCCACTGTAAGAAAGATGCCCACGTTGAGTTTAATTTGTAAAAGGTACACCATGAAATATTTCACTATAACAATAAAGAAGTTTAATTTCTCCGGGGAGAAGAGAGAAGTCGAATAGGTTTGTGCTGCAGGTTATTTTTATCCAAGTTCTTTTAGAAAGAAGTGATTGTACAAGGTCAAAGCTACAAGTAATGCGTATTCCTTCTCAGCTTCTCAGACAATTAAAGCAAGCCCGTGGCTTCTGTGTCATCTGACGCGATTCGAATGCCTTCTAACACCTGAGCTTCCAAAGAGAACAAGAAGAAATAAACGGGCCATTGTAGTTTGTACTTGGAACGAAGGTATTTTTAAAGGCGAGATTCTTTCTCCTTGTTAAGTAGCAGTGCTCTCACATGGCATTCTGTAAGGGGAAACTGTTCTCAACTGAGTAGCTACTTGCCAAACAAAGCCCACGCACGGTGCCACTCGTGCACCAAAACCCCAGGAAAGAGACAGGATAAAATTATTCTACTTCTACGGCAGGGAAGAGTCAAAGCACAGATTTGTGAACTTCATGCAGACAGGACCCTAGCAAAACAGAGAGTCGTGCAACTGAATAAACAACGACAGAGACAGGTGGGTCCCTCTGAATTGCTTCGTGTTTCTAAAGGCAAAGTCAAACTGCTTGGCTTGTTACTCATTTTCCTAAGCAGGAAGCCCCCTCGAGCAGCAGGTGTTTGAAAGACCCATAAAATGATGAGGTACCTTCCGTCAGGTCTTCAGTTTTTGCTCCCAGAATATTAGCGGCAATGTTCACCATGTTTAGAATGGCATCTAAAACAGAAGTCAGTTAGAAAAAATACCGAGCCACCTAAATATTCCCACACAGTCTCAGGTACTCAAAGAACTAGTTAACAGTCTGTTTGCGTTTTTTGGACTACTTACTTTTTATTCACCTTACTATGTAAGTCCAATATAGGACACAAATTTCAGCCAAAAAGTATAAAGTATAAACCTGAACTTTTATGTTCAGAAGGAAATTAAAAGTTAACTTTTTTTTAGAAAAAAAGGCTTCCTCAAACCTTTTATCAAAACATTGTCTTCAGCCTTACAAAATTCAAGTATAATTCAACACAGGAAGAAACGTGACAACCAAAATTCGTATTTTACAGAAAAGCCTGTTTTTCTCTAAGAACATTCTACAGTTTAAAACAAAAACAAAAACTCTGAAGAAAAAAGCTTTTTCTAAACAGGTGATTATCATAGAAAAAAATAAACAAAATGGGATGATTATTATCCAAAGACCAGCAGAAAGATTTTGTTATTTTCAACTATAAACATATACATATGACATGTACCGATAATATGATTAACCCCCAAACTGGCACTGTATGGAATCAATTTTCTTTGGTAACTTTGAACAACAATTAGGGATAATAAATCACACAAATTCTTTTGTGAATTGAGGCTCAGGCAGATTACTAGAAAGTCAAAGTCAGAAAACCCCACATGCTGTAGGCAGAGCAGTCTGCACACGTGCTAATTCTGCCCCTTCAGAGAGGACATCTGGATGATGGCTCAAGTGTTACGAACCTTCATAATATTAAACAGCAAAGGTACACGGGGAGCGCAAAACAGAGCTCCACAAAAAGCTGGGGCTGGGACGGCAGGCTTCCTTCCGAGTGGTGAGACGTAACTTCAAGGGTTACGTCTTCCACCCCCAATCCAATCTCCGGAACCCCAGGACAGGCTCTTCCATCAGGATCTCCTATCTCTCCTCTAAAACACTCAGCTGTGGCTCGAGCTACAACGTAAGCCTCGGCAGTAACTCCCGTCTTGGTCTCCTTTCCTGAAAGAGATCCCCAGGGTGCTCCCCACTCTGTCTATGGAACCCACAAAAGTGCAGGGTAAGAAAGATCTTGAAGGAAAAGTGAGCCCATCAGGAGGGGTGGGAACTGTCACCTGGAGTGACCCTGTAAATGGGTGCTTCGTGGTAGGAGAAAGTAGCGGGGGACTTCAGACTGCTTTGAAAGTCATAACCAGTGAACAGTTACTAACTCTGACCTTTACATAAACATAAGCCCACTGTCTGGAAGACAACGAAGCAGTGGCACTTTGTTTCCAATTGTTATTAATAAGCCGCACTAAGCTGCACATCTGCACTTTCAGTGTCCAGCATTATAGGTCATCCTTGCCTGTTGACCTGGCAAACTGGTAAACAGAGTGGCCTTGGTTCTTAGGGCTAAGGCCTCAGCATGAGATTAAAAAAAAAGGATGGGAACTCAGCATTTCCTCCCTCACCACCATGAAGGAGCAATGGAAACTGTTATTTCCTCATAAACCCACTTTTAATGTCGACCAACGATGCAACAGCAGTGTCTGATCTGCTACTTCGCACGCTGGCTACAGTTCGGTCAGCGCTGACTGCTTCACAGAACCCAAACTTTAAATCAAATCTATACTCCGAGTCCCTTCTTGTACTTCAAAAGGTGATCGTACCTCAGATTTCAAATTTTTTGCCATTGCTCATGAAAGAATCCCAGGAAAAAACATGTATTAATCTTTGCAAAGAAAGTAGTTTTAGAGTATTATATTTTAACCTAAACCTTAATGGTAGCACATACAACAAAGATTTACACTATCCATCACTTAAAAATATTATTTATCATCATTTCAAAGACTACTTAAGTAAGAGAAGTGAAATTTAGCAAATTTCCATTTATTTTCTCAGCCCATCTAACCTACAAGAAATAGTTTGCTGTGGTCACCGAACACTGCCAAATGCAGTCTTTTTTTGAGGAAAAGAAAGAGAGAAAGCAGCTCTGCGAATATTCTACTCTGATCGTTCTCAATCTGCATCCAAACATGTGACAGCTTGTCATGATGATAATCTGGCCACTACAAAGTCTTCAGTACAGGCAAGGATAACAATTTGAAAGACAGCCGTCCCTAATTTCTCCTGGATTAGCCGACCCCTTTATCTACGAGTTGGGCAACTCCTCCTCCCATCTCATCCCTGTAAGACTGAAACTCCCCTAGGAACCAAACAGCAACGCTGTACTCTCTTCTCCTTCTAGGACCTTACAATATGCACATTCGTAAAAAGGTACTTTTTAAAAAAGATTTTATTTACTTATTTTTAGAGAGGGGAAGGGAGGGAGAAAGAGAGGGAGAAACATCAGTGTGTGGTTGCCCCTCACACGGCCCCCACTGGGCACCTGGCCCACAACCCAGGCACATGCCCTGACTGGGAACCGAACTGGCCACCCCTTGGTTTACAGTCCGTGCTCAGTCCACTGAGCTGCACCAGCCAGGCCCATAAAAAGGTACTTTTAATTACAACAAAAACTGTATTTTGCCTTAATATACATACAGAAACCTGGTCTTCAGCAGATCTGGCAATTCTAACACAATACACGCCATATTCAGCAGTAAACAGAGAGTGGTCTGAAAAATGCACGTGACAAAGCTCATGAAAAGCATGATGAAAAATTCCGGTTGATGTAAAATACTCAAATGTTCTGGTTCAAGAATGTAATCAAAAGAATCAGGTGGAAGAGCTGCTGGAACCGTCACACACACGGAGCCAGGAGGCTGCTCGGAGTCGCTGCTCCCTTTTGGGCACTAAGGGGACTTGATAGTATCAAGGATTCCTAACTGTGTGGGTGTGTGCTCTTTGAAAAGCAAGTCCCATGGGAAGCAACATACTCTGTTAGCTACTGCTTAAAAGCAAAGGAAAAAGAAGCCTCTGTTAAGATTAAAGCCACAGAACTGTTTACAAGACACTATGTAAATATTAAAAATAAGTTAAAAAAGGGGCCAACTCTGAGCCAGTTTAGAACTCGGTGATGACGACAGTCAAACCCGGACGTGCCGGTGCCAGAGGCGAGCCTCCGGCCTGCCTCCAAACTGTCATCTACCCGCCAAGTTCCGCCACCCAGGAGGCAGCCCGACTCTTCAGAGGAAGCTAGGACACAGAGGAGGTGGCCCTGTCAGGTCACATCCACGGGCTTTATGACGACGAAGTCTTATCACTCAGCTCCCTCTGCCTCTGTCATTCTGAAACTTCATGAGATGGAGATCGTCCCAAAGCCCATTTTCCATGCTTGGGCCCGGCCGACACCCTCCCCCCATCTAGTCTCACTGCACAAGTTCTGCCAACACCTGGACCTCGAAGGCAAAGGAAGTGCCCCCGAGAGCCGTAAAAAGGAAAATGAGTGATGTGTTACCAAGAAACAAGCCTTCAAGGAGAAGATCTAAAAAGAAGGTTCTAAAGATGGGTTTCCACCTAATTTATGGACACGATGCAACAGTCAGAGCAGTGAGTTCACCTAGGGGAACGCCCGCACTGAAATACAGTTCAGTGGTAGCCAGGCCTTGGTCCTGTTACGAGAAGACAGAAAAAGAAACCAAGAATGTCAACAGGCTTTCCTTGACCTAAAACCAGCGAAGGCGTGACTTCCCTAAGAGGTCCCTCGTTTCCAGTACGGTAACCATCAGAGGCTAGAGACCTTTCAGTCTGGGACCGTTTTCTCAACCCCACAAAGTAATGAGACTTCCTCACGGCTAATTCAGCATCACTGAACTATGATGAGTATTACAGAACATGGAATTTTAAATACAAATTGACAGACATCAATCATAATAATAGCATCTTTTTTCCTTCCTGGAAAACTATACCCCACAATAGTGAATGAGACACCTAGTTTTAATGTCCTCATTGACTAGATAGCACAGGATCCTACTTTTAAATATACTCACTACTATTTTTAAAAACTTAGTTGACTAGCAATAGAGTAAAACAAAATATATTGAGCTAATATGTAACAAAGTTAAGTTACTGCAGAAAAGGATTCTCCTTGTGCAGACATTTTTAATACTCTTCTTCCTGTTCCTTAAAAAGAGTGTTCCAAGTCTACAGTCTTCTATGGAAAGGAAGACAGGAAGAAGAAAATAAAAGGTGAAAAGAAAAGAAATGACCCTAAATGCCACGCACTGTAGCTTAGGTGCTTATGCTCAGCAGATGCCCCAGGGGCGAGCACCTAAAACAGCTGCGCAGCTAATGGACAGGGAGACTGGGATTTAAGGATTCACGCGATTCGACTCACTAGAAGCAACGAAGGAAATGCAGAGCAGCTAACCTTCTATTTTACGAACTCTACTGAACACTAAGTTCAATTATTAATCTCCAAATAAAAAGGAAACTTCTTCCAGTAAGTTCCACCTTCTTCAGGAATCACCAAGAGTAACAAACACTGAAATACACCTACACTCCAACAGTAAAAACAGAGTGCCGGCTGCTGACTCTTCCCCAGGAGTCTCCGCAGCTGGCCTGCCGCTGGGCTCAGACGTCGGGTTGGAGCGACTAGAAATAAAACCACTGGTATCTTGGCCAGTGTCGCTTTAGTTTACAGAGAGTATATTAATATTACTAGTATTGTTATTGCTCGGGAACCATGACTACGATGGATAAGAACAGCCTTCATACTCTGTAATCACGTAGGAACTAATGAGACCCACAGACTGAAGAATCCTTGTTGGCGAGGATTTCCCTGACGGGCACGATCTCTGCAGCTGCGGCTCCAACTCCTCTCCACCCAGAGGCTCTTGGTCCCAGAGTCTCAGACCTCCTTCCTCTTCCGCCCCCAAGTACCCCCAGGCCCTCTCCTCACTACGCAGATTCTAGTAACACTACGAGTACTCAGACTAGAACTAACGTGCCTGCGTTTTCCCTCTCCTCTTTCTTTTCATCCGTACTTTCTACAGTACTTTATTTCCGTAGAAACACTTCCCAAAAGCCAGTATCTGTGTTAACTCGAAGCTGAGCACTGGGAGGAGCAGCCTCCTAAACCCACCGCCACAGAATATCCGCTCATGTCAGAGGAGAGCGTGGAGAAACACTGTAATAGTGACCAGGAAACCGCCAAAGCACTTACTTGTAGCAGAACCAAGGAGATTTTTTGAGGCTTTATCTTCCCCAGTATTATAATCCAGTGGATAATCTGTTTAAAGAGACAATAAAGGTACTTATACTGAGAACTAGCTCCAATAATATGTTTAAAAAGCTCAGATTATGTCCAAGTCAGCTGACATTTAAGACAAATTTTACAATAAATATTCATTATATATCTAAAACATGTTGAAAAAAATAAGATTGAAAAGTCATTTATCCAACACAGCAAACCAAGGAAAATAATATTACCGCTTAACAAAAGTTTATGCACATATATAAAACTTATTTTATTCAAGTTTTCAGCGTACTTTACAAACCCCTCGTAAATGCGTTCATTTCATTTATGGGAAAACAGACCATTCAGATTAGGATTGAAGAGATTAAAACTAGGACTTGACGAAGTCGAACAGAGTCTCATAACACCTCCTACCCCTTTCTGTCCACAGGCGTTTGCCAGAGGCTCGGGCCTCAGTGGGTTGGCTTTCGGCTTCCCGGCACATCGAAGAATTAATGCTCAGTTCTACCACTTCGGTTACCTTATAAGTCTAATAGGTTTCGGGGCCTGCCACAGGGCTATAATAGTAATTTACAGGACAGATGTTATCCGAGGGAGTTCCAATTACAAATACTGATTGATAAACTTGGAAAACAACTCAATTTACAAAGCTGAAAATCAGTTTAGAAAATAGGTTCAGGAAAACACTAGTTATTAAGGTTAAAAAAGCTAAAGTATGAAGACAACCATTATATTAATTTTTTAAACTGACCTATATTTACCCATTACTACGCGATAGGAAAAAGAAAAGAACAGATACGTCACAGTCACCTGTTTTTAAATCACTCACCATAGTCCTCATCAAACAGTTCCTGCCGCTCCGACTGGTACTGGGAATCAGCAATCTCCTCGTACTCTTCCACCATGCTAGTGCCAAACACCCTGCGAACGACAATCTCATCAAAGACTTTCAGAGCAAAACAGAGCCCTTTAGAGTCATCTCTACACAGCAGATGACGAGACACATGAACTCTGGCCATCATTTGTGGGCCGCTGGCTTCAGGGCTCCAGAATAATGACTGCTCCTGGACACTGCAGTCAGGCACTGTTTCCATCAAAATGTAAAACTGATCTCTTCAAGGCATTTAAAAATATAATGACCACGTTTTGATAGCAGTCTGAAATGCTTGTTATCTTGATAGCAAAACAGCAAGCAAACTAAACCAAACACATAAAGTGATGGTTATGTTTACTTCACTGGACATTTTCCTGAAATGCATTCAAGAGCCAAAAAGGGCTTAACAGCTTGTATTTCTATGGTATTAACTTCACATAACAGAAAATGACTTCTTCATTGTAAACACACCGAGATTTCTGTGTGCCGCTTTTTCCCTATAGACCGCCCCAGCAGACATTCTCATTACCTTATAAGGCTCAGCGGACAAAAGTGCTCGGATCCGAAGTGAGACAGCAGCTCCACCTACAGAGCAAAAGCACAGGAGGTGGGCAACTGCACCAGCGGCCAGAGGCTCCGGCAACACACGCAGACTCTCACTCACAACAACACCCTAAAATAAAGTCCTCGTTTCCCCACAGTCAGCACTTGGAAAGCACTGTTTTATTTTTCCATGCAGTAACATGCCATGCCCTGTCATCCGGTATTTCAAAAGAGAAGGTTGCTAACCTTTATGTACTTGATGAACATCTGAAGCAAGAGAAAGGAAAAGAAAAATCAGTTCCAAAGTCTGGGTAACATGCCACAAGCAACATTTAATATGTGTAAGTTATACTGCACAATTAAAGAAAGCAGTGTACTTTGATGGATAAAATCGTAGTACCCTTAATACTCTGAAGAAACCAAAGCAATAATTTAAATTTTCTACCATCCAGAAAGTACAATCTAACTGTAATGAAATAGATTAATTTTAAGGCTATTAACTTAAAATTCACTGCTGCTGTTTTCTTTATGTTAGTTAAAGCTTTCTAAAAGTAACAGTCTTCAGAAACAACCTGTGCCTCATACTACTTTAAACATTATTGACATGTATAGCATATACCTACATACGTATTTATATATTAATACATATGTGGATGGATATACACATGTACATACATGCATACTGAAAAGAGGTTAACTGGCATAATATGAAATAATATTTATTCTTGTACAATATGGTATACTGGTTGTTTTAAGAAAAACATTAATTTTTGGTATGCTGTGTTATTTCAAGTATAACAGAGCACTAGATGACATATATTATCACCCCCCCTTTTAAAACATAAGCTACTAACGAGTAGTTTGTAGACTTGGGTTTAGTTCTTTTGGAATAAGAAAAACCCAGGGAAGCTTAGAGAACATTAATGTTTTTTGCATTTAGACTTAATTCTACCAAAAATAACTTTTTAAAAAAGATTTTATTTATTTATCTTTTTTTAAATTTAATTTATTTATCTTTAGAGGGGAAGGGAAGGAAAGAGGGACAGAAATATCACTGTATGGTTGCCTCTCATGCATCCCCTGCTGGGAACTGGCCTGCAACCCAGGCATGTGCCCTGACTAGGAATCGAACTGTGATCCTTTGGTTCGCAGGCTTGCGCTCAATCCACTGAGCTACACCAGCCAAGGTTACCAAAAAGAACTTTTCAGAAAACTAATCGTTGCGATGCTCCAGAGTCTCCCACCACAGGATTGACGAGGCAGGGGGTTTTTGCAGCTACTTTTATGCTACAGTAAAATGTTGTTTCGTTATTAACAACATAGATAGTGTAGAGGAGAATTCTCAGAATCAGTTCATAATATGTGAGTTACATCAACTATAAAATTAAATACAATGGTACCAACTGCCAAATAATTTCTAACATGTTTTTCTTCAACACAGTGTATAAACTGAGCTCTATAAAAAGGCCACTAAACAATTATTTCGGTATTCATTTTAAAAGGAACTGAAAATGTACCTTCATTTTTCTGAACACTGCTGAGTCACTGAGAATATTGACTGTTTTAAAAATAGAATTTAGTATGTTTACACAGAGACTAGGAATACTACGGGCTTATCCACTTGTAGAAGCCAATTTAATACATGCAGAACAAGACATGAGCAGTAAAATCCCAGAAGACAATTAGGTGGCTACGAGTTTTCACATTTAAGAAAGAAGAAAAAGAAATTAAAGCTGCTGTCATCCCAGAAGTTCCTATTATGAACACAGTGGTACTTTAAGGTATGGCTATTATTTTAAAGGAAAAAAGAGCAGGAGAAGAGTAGGAAATTCCCATGTTTTGTCTAAATCCAATTCAAGAGTGGTAATTCTATTTATGGGTGGAGAGAAAACAGCAGGTATACTGAACAAAAATGGCTAAAAGTTGACTTTATTTGAAATGGGTATTCGGACACACAGAATATTTTACTTGAACATAAAAGGCAAAATCTGTAATAGTAACAAAAATGGGATAATAAAGTTGAAATGACCTAAAAATTAGATTCCAGTAAGAAATCAGACTTGCAATAAAGACTTCAGTGACTAACACTGATATACATTTTGAAATAAAGAGAAGTATGACACTGTGAAAATGACATTTTATATAAATACTCAAAAAACTAAAGTTACAATCTGGAATTTCATCAGAGCCGCAAATATACTTAGAAAAACCGGCCTAAGTTTCTAGTTGCATCAAAGGGAATGTTGCACTTTAGGTCCCATTAAACGATATACTCGAGCCAAACTTATTGCACGAAGGGGTAGACTTCAGTGAACTCCCTCTGAACCCCGATCTCGGAACAGGCCTGGGAGGTCCCCAAGCATGCGCACAGGGACGTTTGCACTCTAGGATACGCCCCGCACCTGCGGCCTCACCTTCACATATTTTGCATACATCTGTTCATCTAAGGGGAAACTCTGCACGTTCCGCTCATCTCTACCGTGGAAAGTCCCCAGCTTAACCCACTTGTTTGTGGGATACCTAGAAAACATAAAATATCAATATTCTTTTAAAGCGATCATGAAACACATTGAGCAGTCCTATCACATCGTCCAAATGCATCATGTATCTTATTTTTCCTCTCCAGGTAAACATACTGATTTAACTTAGTTTAAATATGAGTTAAATAGTGAGTGCAATACATACATATTCCTTTCCAGCTAAAACTCTAACCGGTTCCTTTTTATGAAGAATATTTTGAAAAATTACACCATTATCACATAGAAGGGGAAGACAAGGAGAAAAAAATGGGACCAGCACTGCTTCTTAAGAGGGCTTTCGATCAAACTGGAGGTTTTAAGAAACACAAAGCAGCCGACAGACTTTTTGGGAAGGAGGCACTACTCTTCCCACAGTGACAAGTGCGCGTTGACACAAACCGTGGACAGAAGTGCTGGTGGACAGGGGACAGGAGAAACCCTCTAAAACCGTACTTGGATTTCACAGACCTAATGCAGCTGCAGCCCCTGAAAAGGAAATCTAATATAAAAACCTAAAATTACTTGTTTACATAGCACGTGTTCTTATCACAAATGCAACACACACACTGTCAGAGCTGATTTGGCATTATGACAATAACTTAGGGCTTAAAGAAAAGGAAGTGATCTGAATAAGGCTAGGAGAAGGACAATGGCTGAAATTCTCACGAGGTCCTGAGGGTTTATTTCAAAAACTGTATGTACGGATGCAATGCTGATTATGGGGGGCGGGGGGAACACCGTGGAAAACCCTTCATCATCAACGACAGAAGAATAGTTAAATAAGTAGCCACATCCTACATGGACATTGTTGGCACTCGAAGTATTTAGAGAATGAATACACTCCTCCACTGGGGAGGAAGTGCTCATTTAAAATAGTGTGTTCAAAAGACAAAAGGATATTCTCAGAATGTAAGCAGTAAAAACTGATTTATTTTGTAGGATTCACAAATAAATACATAGAAAAGATGAAGGAATTTACTAAAATGCTTAACAGTTACCTTTGGTTGATAGAACTGTGGTTCTTTACCAAAGTCCCTGCAAAGCATGTTTAGTATTTCTCTTATAATCACAAAGACCAACAAAAATATTTTCAAAATACACTTTAACAAATACATTCGTCACAACATAAAATGAAGTATTCATTTTTAAAATAACATTTATAAAGAAATGTTTGGCAGTAAACAGAACACAAAAATTACAAGTAAGAACTTTGAAGCCACCCAGATCTAGCTTTGAATCTTGGTTCTCCAACTCCCAAGTCACATGACCCGGGCAAGCTACTTAACCTCTCCTTATCTGGTTGCTCACCTTAGGAGGAAATTAGTATTTTCTGGCTGTTATAAGCACTATGACTTAGTGAAAGTAAAATACTTAACAAGTACCTACACTAAGTAGTATTATTACTGTTCTTACAAATCGATATACTAATACAAAAAAATAAAAGTTTTAAAAAGTGACCCATTAAACATATTTTTCCTAGAGAGCCACTGTAAGTTCTGCAGAAACCAGCTTTAGAATTTACCTGTCACTGATGGAAACCAGGAAGTCTTTAGGAGTAGAAGAAAATAACTCATAATTTGCGATATCAAGCTGCTTTACTTGAATTGGTTCACAAAGTTCAATAACAAACCTTCAAAGAAAAAACAAGGCAGTTTAGATAAAACAATTAAAGCAGTTCGCATCAGACGTTACATTAACAGTCTGCATAAACCAACGTCCATTAACTGACTCACTAAGAGAGGGAGGAGGGGGGCGACTTGCAGCCTTAGTTACCCACAGGGAACACCTGTATTTCCCCAGCATATCATCAGTTGGGGTGTGGGAGGAACTACAAATCAAACAAGATCTTGATTTTATTCCATAATGATTTTTAAAAGATTGTTTTTTAGCCACAAAGGTCATTCTTGGAGAAGAAATGACTTCACTAAGAACAGCTACAGATAGTAGGAACTCACTAGTCCAGAGGGCAGTTTGGCAAATAGACTGCCTCAAAGGTACCACAGCCTTTGACTTAGCAATACACTTTAGAAACCCATCCTAAGGATGCATGGCTCTGAGTGTTCACCCCTGAACACACACTTTAGTACATCAAAGCACAGTTTGGTGTGTGTGTGGGGAGGCAGGTGGCAGTCTACGTATATGATTAGTGTAGGGGGATTAACAAAGAATTGATTTCACTGCCCACCTAGACAATACAATACCAGACAGCTGTTAAAAATGGCAGGAGAAACTATATATTCCATTATATAGAAACCTAGAAAATATAACTTAAAGTGATAGAAAACAGTTGTACTTACTGTAGTGGAGGAGAAGGAGGAAAAATTACAAAGGAGCATGAGAAAACATTTTGGGGAAATGGGTATGTTCGTGATCTTTACGATAGTTTCATATATAAAATGTCAAAGTTAACAAACTGTACACTTTGACATACTGTAGCTTATTTTATAAACTGAAGTATAGTTCATTGTATGTCAATGATGCCTCAATAAAGCTGTTCTTAAAAATCATGCCAGAGACCTGCATTTATGGACATGGGAAGACGCCACAAATTACTCTTGCTTAAGAAACAGTTAGAAGCACGGTGCCACGTGTGTATATGGACTGTCAAAAGCATGGCATTTGGGGAAAAAATGCCGTGACATCTAGCCCTGTAATCAACACTCAGTAAACTATTATATCAAATGAGACACTACGGTGACAATTAAGTGTTAGATAATTCAAAAGCATTAAAATGAACATAGTGTGTTTAACCTTGGAAAACAACAGAACCAAGTCTCAGGAGATGGTAAAAGCCATCGGGTATCGGAGAGAGAAGCTCAGGAAGAAGGCAAACGGACGTCTGCTGACGCTCACTCTGATACCGCGTCAGACGGTTTAATCCTTCCTTAAACTGCTAAGGATATTATCTCCATTTTACAGAACTTTTAAATAAATACTAATTGGTTACTTCACATTCTTACCCTCTGTCTTTGTATTTCTTAAATACAAAGAAACCCCAACCAGGACGCAGTTGAGCATATGGGCCCCAGCAAAGACTACTTCCCAGTTTGGGCCATGTTACTTAGTTCGTGCAATGGGGTGTGAGCAGAAGTGTCAAGTGCAACGTTCAGGTCAAGCCTTTACAAGGAAGCTGGTGCCTCCCAATTTGCGTTCTCCCACCTCAACCTTACAGGCTGGAATGAGGATGTGGTTAGAACCAACCACCGAGGGATGCAGGCCAGGACAACCCCTTAGGGGAGGTACAGCAACAGGATGAAGGTGCCGGGCCGTCAACTGTTCTGTGTTACAACCTTGCAGTCCTGGCCAGCTGGCGGTTTTATGTCAGAGAACACTAAATGTCTATCTTATTAAAACCAGTTATTCGGTCCTACTAAGCAGCAGAATCAAAAGCCCTGATCATTTAGCGAACAAGTAGTAAAGTTCAAGTCAGAACACAAATCAATCTGGCCCCAACGCCTGAACAGTTTTCACATCACCACTACGCCCTGAGGAGAGGCAACTAAAGGAAACCGGACTCAGGCTTTGGTTTTTATTTACAATGGAGAAAATAAATCTAAAAGGATATTAAGAAAATAAAAAGCTAATCTTCCCCCACCTTTTTTTTTTGCACATGATGTTCTCCCTTTCTAAGACATGAGCGACAGTAATACCAGCTACAGATAAAATAAGCTTTCAGACAAATGTATTACCAGGTGCAGAGTCAGGTCTCAGGAAATTTAACAATTCTAAAACTTGCATACATCTAATAAATAGCCTCAGAATATGTAAAATATTACTATGCATGTAATTATTCCTCAGTAAAGTTGATTTTAAAATGTTCTTTCATTATATTTTTCTGCCTCATCTTTCATGTTTCTTAGCAGAGGATCTTATATGCAAATTAACAACACTACATGTAAAAATTGCAAATCCAATGTCAATATACTTCTATTAATTATAGGTAGTCACTTTTAAAAAATCAGTAAAGTAAATCTAAACACAAATAGTTTGATAAAAGAGCATGTATCAAAACTTAGATGACACAATTAAGAATAAAATTTGTAACTTTCAACATGTGTATTACAAAAAGTGTATATTATAAAAAATAAGTTTAATAGACAAAACCTAAAGAAGTATAAAATAATACAGATTCAAACGGAAATACAAGGAACAGTAAACAAAGACATGATAGAGGGAGTCAATAAAGACAAGAGAGACAAATTCCTGTGGAAATTAAAGGAAAGGCATAAATAAAAAGATCACGAATTTTAAAAATCTGTAAAACAGAAAACATCTTCAAATAAGGGAACAGCCCTTGTTGGTGTGGCTCAGTGGATTGAGCACAGGCTGTGAAGCAAAGGGTCCCCGGTTTGATTCCCAGTCAGGGCACATGCCTGGGTTGCAGGCCAGGTCCCCAGTGGGGGCTACGTGAGAGGCAACCACACACTGATATTTCTCTCCTTCTCTTCCCCCCCCCGAAGATAAGTAAATAAATAAAATCCTTAAAAAATAATAATAATAAGGGAGCAACACAAACAACTTCACTAGAAAAAAACTCTGAAAATGGATGAAAGATAAATTCCTAAAAAAATACAATTTTCCAAAATTGCCTCAATAAGAAACAGAAAATCTAAATCTAAATAGTCTATCTGGGGACATGATGTTATTTCAGCAACAGCGCATCAAAGAACAGGCGCTCAATTAACATTGAATGGATGAACAAATAAATGGAGAAACAGACAAACTAATGAGAGACCAGGAAACTCAATACCCTAAAATACAAATAATCCTGAAATTCATCTCAAGATTTGATACGATGCCAACAAAATTGCCAGCATAATTTTCTATGGAACCTGACAAGATGATTCTAACATTTAAAGGAAAAAACAAAGACACAGGAGCAGCGACGGACTTCCGATGAAGATGAGGTGTATGTAAACGGACCCCAGCAGGGAGTAAGACTTACTAAAGCCACAGTGAAACTGTGCAGTCTGAACACACCTTTGCGGGGCCAGCGCACCTCAGTCAGGGGAAGTCGGTGAAAAGGCGTTCTAAGGTTTTCACCATCCATGAGAAACCACACAAATGAGCAAAAATTAAATACACAGTAAACACGTGCACACCAGTGCACGCTGCCCGGCAAAACACGCTTAAATACAAAATGAGGAGTCGTGATGACTTTCTACGCAAACCAGAGTAAAGTAAATGACTGCTTCACGTAACTTCATCCCACCATGTGTTTGCTTGAAGTGTAAAATTCTGGAGGAAAGAAACTTGGGTTGTTACTGATCACAGAGGCTTCTCCAAAGAAAAAGAGCCCAAAATTATATTCTATGGTCTCAGACAATCAATGCTTCAAATTCAATTTATGGACCAAACGACACAGTGAAAAACTTTTTGAAATGATCCAGTAACACCCTTAAATAATTTAGTGTTAATTTTCAAACTGAACCTAAATGTGCATGTTACCAAAAAGGGCTCAGGCCAAAAATAAGAATAAGCATTATCTTCAAAGTTTAAAGTCTCTCCTTAAAAGAATAATCTTATTTGTATGTAAATCAATACAATGGTGGCAATTTACCTCAAATTCTATTTTAAACAGCTGCTTTTGAGTAATGCATCGAGTAATGTAATAAATTTTAGTACATCACGTTATTTCCTCCCAAGAATCTGCTTCTTTGACTATATTCTCACCTAATGGTGGAATCACATAGCCAAGCAGTGAAGCCAAACCCTGGGAGACTGCCTGGATGCCTTTCTCTGCATCCAATTACTAGCCCGAACTGTCGGTTTTACCTGCTCTAAATCTCTCTCTAATACATCTCCCCCTCTCTGCTGTGTCCAAACTCCAGTGCCTCCGTTCAAGCCTCATTTCTCACCTGAGCTTTGAGGTTTCCCTGCCTCCAACTACATCCTGACACAGGCCATACTTTGAGGACAGGCCTTCTTAGAACGCCAGCGAGGTAACACCACCTCCTTCATGTTCTTTGAGATAAAAACTCGAGCCCTGGCTGGTGTGCCTCAGTGGACTACGTGCCAGCCTACAAACCAAAGAGTCATGGGTTCGATTCCCAATCAGGGCACATGCCTGTGCTGCAGGCCAGGTCCCCAGTTAGGGGGTATGCGAAAGGCAACCACACACTGATGTTTCCCTCTTTCTCCCTCCCCCCTGTCTAAAAATAAATAAAATCTTTAAAAAAACTTGAAAAAACACTAAGCTGAGTATATACATTAGATGGCCTGGTTATTGCTAAACTAACTCCCCTGTCTCGTCTTCCACCGTTCTGTCACCTTCAGGCCGGTTATGACCGAAATGACTTCGTCAGGTTGCCTCTACCATACCTTTACGGTTGTTGCTTTTAGCACTGTCCCCTTGCTCGTACAGTCCCTGAGCAGCTCTCCCCCATCACTGCTACCACCTAGGAGTCCTTCGGGACTCAGCTCAGGGAGTCTTGAAGGACGTCCTCTTCCAAGAAGCTCTCCTTCCCCATCCCCTATAAGTACATGTCATCTCTGCTCCTGTGGTAATTTCTCAGCAGTACTTTTTACCCTGTCATCACTGCTTGACTGGATCTGTCACTGTTTTTTCTTTTTTTTTTTTTTTTGGACCTCCTTAATAGGAAAAGCATTTGTCTTCCATTTGGAACGCCAGGACCCGAGGTAAGTACAGCACCAGCACCGATCAGTCACAAATACTCATTGAGTGGCTCCATGAGCAAAGCAGTCTGGTCCTAACAGGAAAGTGAACATATACACACATACAGTGTGCTTTTTATATTTCATTTTACTTACCAAATCTTAGTGCTGCAAGGATTCAACATATAAAGATCCATATTTTCTATAAGAATAGCAGATGTGCTCTAGTTTCAAAAGGGGGGAAGAAATAAATTACTCAAGTAAAAATATTTATTTCAATTCTAAAGCTTTCTAGGATTTCTTTATTTTTAGATCTTAAAACATACCTAAGACTCTGAAATACTCATTTAGGGAAAAAACATTCATATGGCTAAAATTATGGCTACAATACTGTTAGCCTTGCAACAAAACATTTGAAATTAAATGTCTGCTACTATTTTTAAGAATGACTTTCTATCGGCTGTTTCCTTTGTAAAATTTCACACAGGTTCAAAAAGTTAAAAACAGGGTGCATGCCCTTAAGCAGATAAATGGATGAATTGTGACATACATCCAGACAATACAATATTATTCAGCACCACAAAGAAATGAGCTGTCAAGGCATGGAAAGACAGGGACACAATTTAAATGCATGTTACTAAGTACAAGAAGCCAATCCAAAAACTGTACATGTTGTATAATTCCCACCACCCGGCGTTCTGAAGAAAAACCATGTAGGTAGTAATCAGTGGTGGCCAGGGGATGGGGGCCAGGAGGGACAGACAGGCAGAGTCTGTATGATCCTATCATGATGGACACACGTCACTACACATTTGTCCACATCCACTGAATGTATGAATGAACTCTTAGATGGAAGCTCTGGCCTCAGTGTGATAATAATGTGTCAACGTAAGTTCATCAACTGTGATGAATGGATCACTCTGGTGAGGGGTATACTGATAATGGGGGAGGACAAGACATATATGGGAAATTTCTATTCCTTCCTCCCAATTTGTTATGCACTGAAAACTGCTCTAAAAATAGTCTTCAAAGAAATAAAGGTGCAATGTACCAGTCAACCAATATAACTAAGAATTCATACAAGAAAAGTTCTTTAAAAGCATAATCCTACATTTATTAATGTATTAGGAACATAGCTCATGGTCATATGTAGTTCCCAGAAAATCACAGCCTATATTTACTAAAGTCACTAGCTTCCTACACGCACAGTGGAATTTTATACTTAAGTACCTTGGCTTCCGGATTAGCTGCCAAAATTTTGGCACCACATTCTACTGAGGCGTAATTGTTTCGATTTTTCTGGACCTTCTTTGTGGCATGTAGACCTCCGTTGGAAGATGCATGCATGGACTGACCTGCAGACAAACCTTATTATAAACACACATATGATGATTATGATTGAAGATATCCCAGCAACACCATCATCTCCAAAGTTTTAATGCTTCACAGCATATTTTAAAACCCATTAAGAAATTAAAAATGCTTCACCCCAATAGCTTCAAATATTCAGACAAATTAGCCACAAAAATCCACATTACTTGATTTATGTCTAAGAAACATAACTCACAAACTGAAGCTCATCCATGAGAATCAAAGCTTTTAAAAATATAAAATATGTATTTAATTTTATTAGAAAGGACAAATGCTATCCTTCTATCTCTTACCCCAATATTAAGAATTCTTAATTCTGAGACTTATTCTACAAAAGCAAATCACAGCATTAATAACTTGAGCCCAGTTGTGTTTACAGTTTAAAGCTTTATGACGTAGAACTTCCCAGGTCTCAATGCTCCTCTTATAAACTGAGATGAAAGTCACTGCTTTACTACTATCTGTACCTTAATTTCTTCCCTCAATGAATAATTTACAAGAAAGGATTTTGATTAGGATTAGAACTGTATATAATTGCACACAGGTAAATTTAATAGCATCTTGGTAAATTTTACCTTTAAAAAAGTTTTCGAAGTTGTGTTTTTACTAACTGAAAAGAGAAAAAGCATATTTAAACCAGTTCCTTTACAAAAAGAAACAGAAAGGAATCCCAGTGCTATCTTACTTTTTTCTTTTTCTACTTCCATGACTTTCTTCTTCCACTCATCGAATGTCGGTATGTCCTCTGGGTCTTTGGGATTTGTTACAGACGTAGGGTCAATTTCTTCTGGTTTTGTATAATCAGAACTCTGAAAGAAACAAAGATTTCAACTTACAGAATACAAAGGTTTTCTCTGCAATTCCAATAGTTCCAAAGAAGCCTTTCCTGTAATGTGTTCTAATTTTATTTCTGGCTTTGGTATGTGACAACTCAACTGTCACGTGTCTTGACTTGGTTTCACTGGGAAAATCCATCCCTCCAGCACGCTGCGCTGTGAAATGCCAAGTCCTGTGCTTCCGAGAGGCTGCACAGAAACAGCGGGGGTCTCCAGAATGAAGCACACAGAGCTGAGTGCAGAGTCACTGAATGCAAGAAAAGGTGAAGAGCAGGAGACCCAAAATAAAAAAAAAAAAAAAACCGCAGGGATGTGGCACCAGTACTTTGAGCTCCTCTTTGATTCCACGTATTTTGTTTCTGTTAAGTTCACGGAGGGGCCTTCGTTTCTTCTACTTCGTTATTTCTTACCTGAAGGAAGCCTAGACATTCCTGTCGACACTGCAGGAAATTCTGTACTGGCCTCTATCAGAAGTCAATGCAGAACTCAGGAGAAAGGACAGTGAAACTGCCACACTGGGACACACCCTGCTTCATGTCAAGAATCATGCTCTTCAACATAAACAGGTCTAGTGTTTTGCAGACAACTAACAAAAGGTAAGATGTCCCTCTACAATAATTCTGGTTGAAAAGTCTAAATTTAACCTTTTATTATCGAGTTAAACCTATATTCAGGAAACAATAAATTTACTAATCACAGCTACTTCTATATAGCTCTCTAGAACCTGCTTAACTTAGGACTTCATGCACCTGATATCGAAGGGTAAGAGCGGCAGAAAACCCTTTATTCACATACAACCGAAGACAGGCCATTCGAGCAACAACTCTACACATAAACAGTACGCTGGCAACAGCACTAGGAAGTAACCACTTACACTACCTAAACTCCTGACTTTATGGCAAATAATGCTGGCATATTACACGATCAGCTAATCACAAAAACACACTGTACAGTAAAGTAGGAGAGAGTGCAAGGCGTAATACCTACCTCGCTTTTTAAATTCTCTGAAGCATTCAACACAGATTTTGGATCACCATCTCCCTGATCACTTGTTGAAACTTTTGGTGCAAATTCTGATTTTGTTATTTTTCCCTTGCCATGTGAAGATGACACGTTTTCTATATGCTGGCCAACGAGGCTATTTGAAACCAAAAGACATATTTAAACCAATTTTAGCTGAATAACAAATTCACACCATCTAAACTTATAATTACCATGTACAAAGTAAACCAAGAAAGGAGCACAAAGGAGATCAGCTTTCTCTCCATCGGAGAGTGAGATTAAGCATCCACCCAAGTCCAAGTCCACTCACACCTGCCACTGCTGTCACCACAGACCCTACAAGAGCAACCACTGCTCACACCCACCTTTCGTGCGGATGGACAAAGGCAGGCTGGTGGGCAGGAGCACGAGCATCGAGGGCCTCGCCAACATCACAGTCAGTTTCAGGTGGCTCAGTTTCACGGGGCTTGGCTATAGGAATAGTACCAGATTTTTCTATTTCACTATAAATAGGGGAGAAAAAAATCAAGCTGATCAATTTAATTGACATATGTAGAAGTTGAAAAATGATTATCAGTGATCTCCAAAACAATCTAAGCCAGAGAAGAATGCTTTATATTCCTGCAGACTGTTTTCAAGAATTCCCTTCTTTTAAATCATGTAAAGTCAACTGCTGACTCTTTTTTAAAAACTGATTTGAGAAAGTCCCGGCTGGTATAGCTCAGTGGATTGAGCGCAGGCCTGCAAACCAGACAATTGTGGTTCGATTCCCAGTCAGGGCACATGCCTGGGTTGCAAGCCGGTTCCCTGCAGGCCAGTTCCCAGCAGGGGACGCACGAAGGCAACCGTACATTGATGTTTCTCTCCCTGTCTCCTTCCCTTCCCCTCTAAAGATAAACAAATAAAAACAATCTTTATTTGATTTTTTAAAATTTTTATTTTATTGATTATGCCATTACAGTTGTTCTATTCCCTCCCTTCATTCCCCTCCACCCTGCACCACCACCCCTACCATTCCCCCCCTTTAGTTTATGTCCATGTGTCTCAAGTTCTTTGGATTCTATATTTCCCATACTATTCTTGCTCCCCCCTATCTATTTTCTACCTACCGTCTATGCTACTTATTTTCTGTACCTTCTCCCCGCTTCTCCTCCCACTCCCCTGTTGCTAACCCTCCATGAGATCTTCATTTCTATGGTTCTGCTCCTGATCTAGCTGTCCTTTTAGCTTGCTTTTGTTTTAGATTTTGAACAAATAATAAAGGAGAATTTCCCCGATCTGGCAAAGGAAATAGACTTCCAGGAAATCCAGGAAGCTCAGAGTCCCAAAGAAGTTGGACCCTAGAAGAAACACACCAAGGCACATCATCATTACATTAGCCAAGATTAAAATGAAAGAGAGAATCCTAGAAGCGGCAAGAGCTAAGGGGACAGTCACCTACAAAGGTGTTCCCTTCAGACTGTCAGAGGATTTCTCAAAAGAGACCTTACAGGCAAGAAGGGGCTGGAAAGAGGTATTCCAAGTCATGAAATCCAAAGACCTACAACCAAGATTGCTCTATCCAGCAAAACTTTCATTTAGAATGGAAAAGCAGATAAAGTGCTTCTCAGATAAGATCAAATTCAAGGAGTTCATCATCACCAAGCCCTTATTACATGAAATGTTAAAGGGACTTATCTAAGAAAAAGAAGATAGAAAATATGAACAATGAAAGGACAGCAAATGCACAGTTATTAACAACCACATCTAAAAAAATCTTAAAAAAAAAAAACTGATTTGAGAGAGGGAGGGAGGGAGGGAGGGAAGAAGCGGGGAGAAAGAGAAAGAAACCCTGACCCACCGCCCCACCCGTTCGAGCTTTCACCAGCTGATCCTTGCAGGCGCCCCAACCAGGGATCCAATCCGCAACCTTGGCGTACCGGGAGGACGCGCTAACCAAGCACCTGCTGACTCTTGCTCCGTTAAGTGCCCTTCAACTCTGAATAGCTGATTGTATAGGTTAATATTTGGTCTTACCAAAAATAAATATTTTTAATTATTTATTCTAAATGCATCTTTTCTTTTATATTTCTCTTAATATAGTATTCTGCCAGTGTTAGATCCGCTGCCTGCAGTATCAAAAAACCATCTCTTATGAAAAGATTGCACTAAGATTCTTAGGGTGCCTTTAGAATTGCATTTTAAAAATGAAATTTCACTAAAGAGTTGTGTTCAACACAATGAGAAAATAGGTGCTATTCGGATATATGGCATCTAGCCTTAAGTTCTTTCTGGAATAAGCATGCACTATTTAAAAAATTTAAACACAAAGCATGTCTCCTGCTCCCTGTCACTCACTGGGACAAACTCCTAAATGGTAACTGGAACATCTGTGTACAATTCCTTCAACCCGGCCCTTACATTATTGAGAACAGGTATTTAAAAAGTGCTTGTGGTAAAAAAAAAATAGTGGAGATAATAAAAATGAAGTTAACTGACACACATTCTTAACTACGTGCCCGATTTTGTCCTATGCTCTGTACGCATATTAACTCACTTGACAGAAGAAACGCTTAACATACTGTGGTATTACGACGCTTTTCCTTTGTTCTTTGTAGCGTTGCTGAAAGGAGCGAGGAGGACATAATAGGTTTTCCAGATTAAGGAAAACTTCCGCCTCAGTGTTCTAAATAGTTATTATCCAATTTGGAAAAGGCAGCTCTTCAGAGAGACATAACTAGTGGTATATATGGAACACTGCAGTAATACTTCATGCAGATAAATAATCTGACATTTGAATTTTTATAATTATTGAAAAGATTATTCAAATAAGTATCACATTTCTTAAACTAGAACCTCACTTTACCTACACAATATAAAGACTTCACCGCTGCAATCTAATCCTGAGCGTGGGCAGCAAAGTACTCCTTGTAAGACCATTACATTAAAAAATAATAAAAACAGAAAACAGAGGCATTACAACTTAGGTCAGCTATATAGCCTAAACTTAAATTTGACTGTCAAGCTGTCTGATTCTATAAAAAATTTTCTATCATTATTTAATGAGATTCCTTTTGCTTTTTCTTTGCAACGACTTACTCAAGTGTGGAGACTGGAATGATCTCTGAGGTAGATGAGCTGGTAATAGTCTCATTGCTTTCACTGCCCGCAGCTGCACTGGAAGAATCTTCGTGCAGGTCAACAGAAGAGAGCGTCTCAATCACAGGTGGACTTAACTTTTCTGACTCCGTGTTCTGTTTCAAAGAAAGTTATATTAAATGTTGAGATTAATAAATTCTCTCTTTAGATGAACAGGACTGTACAAAAAGTATACCTCAAAAGTGACAATGTAAAGAATGTTCACTGAAAAAGTGAAAATCCTTTCCCCCAATATTACCAGTCAATGGAATATATTTCATATTAAAATGTGGGCTCTACACATTTCATCGCACTTCATAAACTAGGACAAAGGATCTTGTCTTCTGTCTTTCCTACTTCCTATTTCAGACCCTCTTACTGTAATTAATCCTAGTAGCAACACAGACATCCTATGTAATACACAACACAATACAACACACAGTTGTTGCCCCTGAGCAGTCCGGAGTATGATGAGCATCCACAAACAACAATGCAACACAGCAATTCAGGAATCTTGCTGCTCCCTCATCCTGGGTGCTCCGGGCCATCCGTCCCTCCCAAACACAACCTGGAATCTGCCTAGTATCTACCCTTGTTTGAAAACCCCTATCTCAAACCTCCTCCCCCACAGCCAGTGCTAAACAGAATTAGCCATTTCCCCTCCTCTAGGCTCCACGGTTCCCTGCACACTTTCATCACAGCATCCAGAAGACCTCTCATTCATAGCTCTTCTTTCTCAGCTCTACTACGAACACCCTGAGTGAGGACCAGACTCTCTCGACCTGCACGTTCCCCGTCTCTGGCACCTAGCACACAGCACTCACTGACTGCTCACTGAATGAGAATCTAGTGGGAGGTACTCGTGCCCCGCTCGGGGAAGAGAGAGACAATGGACTAGAAGGGCTAGGACCTTGAAGAGGAGGAGGGCCAGTACTCGAGCAAAAAGAAAACACAAGGCCTAGAGTCAGAAGAGTATAAAGTGTGATCATTTGGGGAATTATTTATACTGAAATTCAGAGGGATGCAAATAGTTCACATTTTACGATGGAGGCCTTGAGAAAAATGACTTACTTTGTTAATTACTTTGATGTCAGTTAACATCATTTTTAATATTCAGGACATAATATAATAGAAAAAGGAAAAACATTTTAGCCTACTTCTAATTCACATTCCACAAAAGTGATAAGATTTTGTTATCAAAATACTGTGTTCTGCACACAAATTCTTTTTTTGTGAGTTAGAAAAAAAATTCTGACACCTGAAGATCTGAAGCAACAGGATACATTGTAGAGAGCCAAAATAAAACCCAGGGAGAAATGAGGACTCACACCCAAACTTTCACTGCAGAGAAATGGCCTCATTTATTAGTGCTCGGTGATTGCATTTTTCAAAAGCAGCACTCTTAGCAGGTAAATGGTACTAACACCAGTTACACTGCACTTCAAAGAGATGTATCAATACCCAATACAGTGACCAAACTGAGGTCTTCTACCTTATGAATTAGTGAAAAGGCACAGCATTACAAATCAGAGCAACATGGCTTACTCGTGCATCCACGACGTCGTCATCTTTTAATTTGTGTTCTTCTGGAGGAACGGGTGAATGTGAACTCACTTTTCCAGGTAATTCGGCGCTGGCAGGCCCCTCTCCTTCATCCTGTGTTGCACAAACAGAAAGGCTAACTGGTAAGCACCTTCTCCCGGGACAGCCCCGAGGCAGTGCTGAAGACCTCTCTCCACACTTCACAGCCAACACACCGTCTCGTGTGCATCTCATTCCAATTACGTCTGTTTACATGGCCACTGTCCACCTTCCTGCCTCCCCCTCGTCACTACACCTAACAGACGCACTAAACGAGGTCACGAGCCGAACGTGATCTCTCAATAAGCACTTTAATCCTACCACCGCTAGGTGTTAGGCACGCAGCGAATATCTGATAAGTGAACGTAGTTCTTTGTGTCCTCTCTTTTTGACACTCATTTTCAAGGTAGCATTTCAGATGCCTGTATGTCCTTAAATGTATCCCCCAGAACACAAGTTTCACAAAAGCGAAGTTCGTACTCATCTTTGTTTTGTATAGCCCATAGTAGGTACCTAAATGTTTGCCAAAAAAATGTTTTCTCTCTTAATGCTTTACTTAATTAAATTCATTCTCATAACATTTCATTTTCAAATTTCTCCCTGAAGAGAGTACATCTAAATCTAATTGATAATGGGTGAAAGTGTAAAATTATACTTTTCTTGAGAAATATTTAGTAACAATCTTCAAATCTTTAAATGTTCCATCCCAGAAATACAGTCTACATAACTTGAAAACTCAAATAATCCACTCTAAATATGCCAAAAAATAAACCAACCATAGAATCACGTGTTTGCGCATAACACACAAATGCACACATATACACACATGCACACACCGCTGAGACACAAGGCAAGTCTGTCAACAAAGAAATGTTTAATAAATTAGGATATATCCATATATAAAATTAAAATGCGGCCTTTTGAGAATATAGCAATGAAAAGGTGTCCATGAGATATTGTGAGGGGAGAAGGGGAAGTCTATAGAACAGTAAAATAAAAATACTAATTTGAATATTAAATTCTCATTACGCAATGGTATATTTATAGCTAAGAGAATGGCACGAACATTTTCACAAGAAACAGCAAACCGTGGTTCCTCTGGAAGGGGAGCAGGATAGAAACATAAATATTTTACAGTCAATATAAATTCCTTTGGTATTTTCAAATAAGTACATTAATTTCAGGGCCTGGCAGGGGAGAAGCCAAATCTAGCCAATACTCACCTCTATTCATTTAAAATGATAAAACAATAAATTATTTAGAGACCACCAGGTTGCTTGGACTCTGTCTATTCATCTTACCCAAGTACACAGCCACTGATCGAAGACTCCCTATAATCCTCATTTCTAACGGGTTTCACTTTGTAAGACTGGAGTTTCTTTAGAAACCCTTTAAATACTTAGTGCATTAAAAAGCAAGCCACTAGTTTCCAGCTCCCTGAGTAGATACTATCTTTCTCCCTCCTGGAGCACGAAGGAAGTTCCGACACCCCAAACATAAGCAGTAACCATAAATACATAACTATCTCAGAGGTAGCTTAATTTCAGAATTGCCCAGTTGCAACTCCTCGGATTATACCAAGGAAGAACTACAAACCTCCACCAGAAATTATGTCTTAGGATTTCTGAAATTACTTTTATTCTGAATGTGTTGAAGAAGTCTTAGAAAGCTGACATACAGAATACGTCAACTTTATTCAAAGTACCTTTTTCTGGAATTGTACATCTTCATTTTCTAGCGTGCAACTGTCATCTTGAGAGTAATACGATGAAGCTGAAGAACTCTCTTTACAGCACACACGCCAACTGGGAAGCCTGTAAGACATCCACCAGCACCACCACCAAAAAAAGAGAGAGGAGGAAAAGGTGTTAAACCAACAAACGCCCTACTACGGACTAGGATGTCAGTCACTGAGCACAAGGGTGGTTGGTAACTAATGCCCTTAAATTAAGAACTTAACTTAATGATGAAGACAAATCTACATAAAAGACAGAGGTTTTTTTTTAAAAATTTAATGCCCTAAGAGAAATAATAGACTGTTATCTGCATTCCAAGTAAGGAACTGTGAATTTCATGAAGGTAAGACAGGAGAGACTTCAAAAGAGTGTCAGATGATTATCTCAGAAAGCAGAGAAAGCTGTCAGAGAGCGAACTAACCTCAGCACCAGATGCCAATAATATTACACATTTTACCAAAGAGTTAAGAACAAATAACTCTAAAGCTACCTAAACTATTTCAAAGCATAGAAGCTTCCAAATTATATTTATATGGGGAACATAATAGTAACATCAAAAAAATTAACAGACACAGCATACAAAAATGAATACATGTTACTACTACTTATGAAATCAGACACAGAACTTCTAAATAAAACAAAGAAAAAGTCACCAGGAACAGAGCAAAAAAATAATTATATCAATATTATGGTCAAGTAGATATTCAAAAGTCATTCAAAATACAATAAAATCTATTTTGGCATGCAAAAATATCAAGGAAAAATTATTATTATCTCCACAGGCACTGAAAAACATCTGATAAACTTACACATCCTACAAGTCAGTAAAATGATGGGAAAAGGGGATAGTAAAATTATGAATTATCGTAGATGATGCATTTACACAGGTGGAAAACTAAAAAGAATCACCTATTAAAGAAAGTCTTAGGTACAGTAAGTATATACCTAGGCATAGAGTTAAGAAACTAATCAACTCTACTCAAACCATCCATCACCAGTTCTAAGACCTAACGAAAGTCCCTGCTGAAAACAGAAACAATACTAAATATAAACTTAGCAAGGAGTATACTATTGAGTAGAGCTATTTGAAACTGCCCACATTTGACAATCCTTTAACTAGAAAAAACTCAATTTTACACAACCCAAGCTAATTTAAATGGAAGATTTGAAATCCACATGATTTTTTAATTAGGCTGACTCTAAAATTTACACAAACAGTAAGAACAGTCAAGAAGACTTGCATGTAGCACAACATGGTCCTGGGAGGACAGTGGGAATGGGACTCCCCAGGGGGCCTGGGAAGAGAAGTCCCAGGGAGACAGCTGTACAGGAAGAGCAGCGGGGTGTAGCCCGTCTGAACTGGAGGTTCTCAGAAGGGGAACCTTTAGGAGGATGAAATGGACGGTAAGTCTTTGAGAACCTCTGGTACAGATTTTCCCAAGTAGTAAACAGTTTGTAATTAAATACAAAAATAAGGAAACGAATCAAATATTAGTTTCACAGAAAAGGAAAAGTAGTCATGTTTTAGTACATGGCTCACTTGTGAATAGCATTTATAGTCACAGTAACACAAACAATACGTGCTGATCTACCACCAATTACGACAGAAATGGATCATCAGCATGTGGTTAAGAGACTCTGATCGTGTGCAGTAGAGTAACACCTGAAACTGGCATTAAAGTACTTATTTCGGAGACAAGGAAGTCAATGTACAATCTATCAGCCAAGGGATGAGACTGGTCTCCTCAAAAAGGGAACATGGGGAGAGGGGAATGGGAATTGCCCTTTGGAAGAAACAAAAAACTTTCTGAGCTAACTGACTTTTTCACATGAACATATTTTTTGATAAAAATTAAAACTACGAAACACAGAACAAGGTATATAATAATATACACATACAGCATGCTACCACGTGTGTACATGTGAGTGAAACTTACTTGTATGTGCATAAATGTCTCAAAGAATTACCAAGGAAAAGAGAAGCACCACCTTGGTGGCAGGGGAGGGGGCGGGTAAGGGGCTGACAAGAGCAACGGAAGGACCTTGTTCACTCTGGAACACCCTGTCTTTAGAATTCTGAACCACAAGACTACACTGCCTATTCAAAACATCATCAAGATACTGGTTTGGCCAAAAAGTCCCTTTCATTTTCCATAAAATAAAAGGCACATTTTTCATTTTCACCAATGATTTTGGTGATCTGGATATTTTAAGCATGTCGGTCATCTCTTGCTATGGCTTCGAGTGGGTAGAGGCCAGGGGTGCTGCTAAACATCTTCCAATGCATATGACAGCCACACGGTAAAGAATTATTTGGCCAAAATGTCAACAGCACCAAGAAACTTCACAAATCGCTGTTGACACATTGGATCAGTCATAACACCTTTCTGCATATACTGCACAAATCTTTTTTTGCATTTCTGTTGTGTTTTGCCTTTCTTGAAATGACAAAGCATGATATGATGAAAACATTGCACATTTTCTTCCAATCTTCAATACTAAAGTGGCTGTACAAAAATTCACCACTTTTGATTGTCTTTTTTAACACACACTGGTATGACAGCCGTCACAATACAATTTAACAGAATTGTTTCGAGTCAAGTTAAAGACAACTAAGCACTACTAGGTCCATCATACGGAAAAAAAACGAAACTTTTGGCCAACCCAATATATCCAATATTTAAATATTCATTAAATATTTCTTTATTGACATACCTTTGCACTGTTTCTCAGCTGTACATGTGTGTGTTTGCAGGTGCATTTGTGTGTGTGTGTGTGTACCTGGGGCAGAAGAAGTTTCCAATATCCAAAACTGTGTGTAATGGAATTTTGGTGGTTATTTCTCTTACTTTCTCTACCCCTTTCTGGTCTTTCTAAATATCTATTATCAACCAAGAACTCTGTGTGTTTGTGTGTGTGTGTGTGTGTGTGTGTGTAAATTCTAACATGCAGTTAATGTGAATACAGCCAAAAAATAGTAAATCTCCTTGTTTTTACTATGACCCCTGTTTTACTCTTCTATAATCAAATGCCATTACCCTAAACTCTGAGTGTTTTGGAAGTGAGATTAGCATCTGAATCAGTGGACCAGTAGACTGCCTGGGATGGGCATAATCCAATCCTTTGAGGATCTAAACAGAACGGAAAGGTAGAATAAGGATCATTTACTTGTCCTTTTGCGTTTCCTGCCTCACTGTTTGAACTAGGACATTTCAATGTACCTTAATTAAAAAATACTTTATGGCTAAAAATTGCTAGCCATCATCTGAGCTCCCAGTGAGCTGTAACCTCTTTGCTGGCGGAGGGAGCTCACCTTCATGTTGATGGAAGCTGGCGGTCAGGGTGGTGGCAGCCCAGGGTTGGGGTGGCTGCAGCAGCCTCTTCAGACAAGCTGACCCGACTGTAAAGTCTGCCACACCCACTGACTGTTCCTTTAATGAATGGTTTCTCGGAAGCAGGTGATGCTGTTTGCTAACATATTCCCCACAGGACTTCTTTCAAAACTGAAGTCCATCCTTTCAAAGCTTGCCACTGCTTTATCACATACATTTATGAAGTAACTCTAAAACCTTTGTTGTCATTTCAACAATTTTCACTGCATCTTAAAAGAAAAGTCTTTTCTTACAGCTTAAAAAGAGATTTTCATTGTTCATCCGTAAGAAGTAACTCTGCGCCCGTTCAAGTTTTACCAGTGAAACTGCAGCAATTCAGTCACACCTTCAGGCTCCATCCTAATTCTAGTTCTCCTGCTATTTCCACCACATCCACAGTTACCTCCTCCACCAAAATCCTGGATTCCTCAAAGTCATCCAGGAAGGTTGGAATCAACATCTTCCAAATTCCTGTTAATGTTGCTATTTTGACCTCTTAACGACTTTCTTAGTAACATCCAGAAAAGTGTATCCTTTCCAGAAGGTTTTTTAATTTACTTTGCCCAGATCCATCAAAGAATTAACTACCTATGGCAACTTACACCCTTATGTGTTTTTTAAATAGTAAGACTTGAAAGTCAAAACAACTCACTGATTCATGGGATACAGAAACAAATGCTGTGTTAGCAAGCATGAAAACATTATTAATCTCACTGTGTACCTCCATCAAAGCTCTTAAGTGACCAGGTACACTGTCCAATATTTTGAAAGCAATCTCTTTTTCTGAGCAGGAGGTCCCGACAGATTAAAATGCTCAGTAAACCACGTGGTAAACAGATGAGCTGTCATCCTGGCTGTGCCCTTCAGCAGAAACTGCCACATGCCTCCTCCAGACCTTTCACCACCAAGAAACCCAAAGGTCCGCAGCAAATAATTATTAGGGGCTGAGGGGAAATAGACATAAAAATAAAATTTAAGCTGGAGTAGCATTTCAAGAAAGAACATGCCTTCTATGAGCATGGCTATCTTTCACTGATATTCTTTTATTCAACTGTTTCCTGAAGAACTGCCTCAAAACAAATATAAGCAAATGAATTACCACTCCGTCAGCTATGTGATGATGTGACATTACTATTATCACTGCAATTTACAGCCAAGAGGCTTCAAGTCATGACCAGCGATGTTGAATGTGGAGCTCTAAATCACTACTAAAGGAAGATGAAAGATAAAACTTCATGAAAGAGATACAGTAAGGAGAAACTTTCCATTCATTTAGGAGGTCATGTAACACCAGTGTACGGCAAAGATTTGCAGAGGTTCATGTTGTAACAAGAAGACACATTCAACATGACAATTTGCTAACTGGCCTACAGCAATGTTTAAATTAGTAAGAACTAAAGTGATATATAGTCTGTGTGATTTTTGGCAAGTTCATTAAAGAAATATTTGTTTCTCTGTACCTATTTTTTCAAAATAACACTGTCTACTTTATGGGACTGTTTGAGGATTTGATGAGAAAACACTCAGAACTGGGGACACCACGGAGTAAACACAATGTTAAACAAAACCAATTTTAGATTCTAAGAGAAGGAATAAAAATAGGTGTTTTTTTGCCTGGAAATATGGTTCCGTGAGAGTAACAAACTGACACAGACTGCTTCGAGTTAAATTTTATTTTTGAACTAGCCCTAATTTGTCTTTCATCCT